CCAGGCTCCGGCTATACGGGCTATAAAAGAGTTCATTAAAAAGTAATACTGTGGGAAAATACAAGGAGAATCATAATACAGTAAATACCCTCTCCACATGATTTTTTTTTGCTTGGGTTCATCTAATGTCATTGTTTTGTCCTGGATACATTTATATTTGACATTAAAATTTCCTTTTACATTAGAAAAAAGCATGTGACTTCACTCAGCTATGTTTACAATTATAACCGTGGATATGTGAATCTTAAGCAGTAAAATCATTCATTATTGAAGATGTTTTTAACCAAGCCCAGCAACATTTCAAGCAAACCAATTTGTATTGAAAGAAGCAGGTTTAGGACCACTTCACACCCAGGACAGTTGAAGATGCAAGCTTGAACTATATAATAAACTCCATCGCGCTATATTAACAACAAAAGTAAGAAGCCTGTACAGTAGTTAGTGCATCCCGAATGGTAAAACAGCTTTCCAGTTCTGTATGTTCTTCCTTCATTTTGGATTTAATAACATATTTTTGTCTTTACAATAGTTCCTAAGATGGGAGCAAAGACGAGGTTTAGTGCTCCAATGTCAAACCTTAAGACATGTCAGACTTAATGTTTGCTTTGTATTGACACATAATGACAAATATTCATTAAATTCAATTGTAACTTACTGTATACAACACCCAAAAAAGAGAAAGTATTATATTGCTTCAAGTGTCAGAAAGTAAACGTTAAGGATAATTCCTGCCTCACAACATTTGCATCAAAAGAAAACACATGCTTGTCATCCCATTGGCCACTGGCACTCAATTTAGCACAGAGCCGTCCCGTGGGCTGTGGGTGCCAGGCTTAGCGAGTCCTGCTTCGCTGCACTGGGAGGGCCAAGATGCGTCTAGGCAACATATTAACACAGAGAGAACTCCTGCTTGATGGAATATTGATAAAATGTTTTTGTTTGCCCCACGTTGCTCAGAGAGTTGATGGCTCGCTGCACTAAATCATAAAGCTCACTTGGGCGTATGGGCAGACTCAATAACCAGTTCTTTTCTATTCTGGGAATGCACTTTCTGGGAGGATGTCGACATCAGCAGCACCTCTGTGGAAGCACTGAGGACTTCTGCAAGCACGATACGCCTTGTTAACTTGTCAAACGCCCTGTCATATAGAAACAGTTGCACTGAAATATATCCAGACCATAGAATATGCAAATATGGAGGTACTGTAGAATATTTCAAGATGTGCATTGCCAACTCTGTTCAACTACTTTATTCGGCACTTACATGTATCTCGTGCTGTGTGCTCCTCATTCCTTCTGTCTGTAACTTGTGATGCAACACTGAAATTTCCCCGCTGTGGGACAAATAAAAGATCTCTTATGACAAGTTTTATCTTAAAGCACGGGTACTTAACTTTCAAATAACAAAAATGTCGCTATGTAAAAACAAATCTAACTAGTTCCTATCTTACATCCATGTGACTCTCAAAACAGTTTGGCACACTAGTTATTTTGGCCTCCGTCACATCTTCAGAGTAACTAAGTTTTCTAATAAGATGGAGACAGCAAATACTTCTGTGGGGACAAAAACAATTTTTATTTAGTGTGAAAAAAGGTACTCCAGCTTTAAATTGATGGACACTACAGCATGGTTAGCCTCAATGGTGTAGGTTTGGTTCCAATCTTGGTGGGGACATTCACTACGACCTGAGTCTACACCCATTGACACGGGGTCCAGAGTTTCTCCCCCAGAATTTGTGGTGTAATCACACACTATATTTGCAATAGTGTGTTGCCTTCTATACTAAACTCAGCTGTAGACTGAATGAGAAGCAGTTAAGGATTTGTTCTAATAGTGAGAGGAGAAAATATTGAATTAGAATCTACAGTGAGTAGCTCACTACATTGTTTGACATATACGATCAATCTCTAAAAAACAATTCATAGTCCCATGCATACCTACAAAATTCCAACCTCGCCTGATGCACTGAAGGGCCTGTTGCTTCTACCTCAACATTCCCTATATTGTTCTCTCTTGTTGGTTGAGTTTCCTATGTATGTTAACAGAAGATTAATCATCACAATTCATAATTTGCTATTACTTGTGCTTTCTCTTACTTACTTTCCAACTGTTAAAAAAGCTCCTGATATCTTTTATCTTTTTTTGTGGAGGTGGCATTTTTTCTAAATTATATAAGGTATAGAAAATCAAAAACAGACATTCATATACATGAACTGCAGAATCATTTATATAACTTGGCCAATGTCAAAAGTTACATAGTATTTCTCAATACAATGAGTTAACAAGAGTTTGGCAATAAGTAACAGTGTGGATTTGTCTATATTTTCTTTTTTTTATTCCACTCTCAACCCAAAAAGGCAAGTAATGACTCACAGGGCTCTCAAGCAAAATAAAAACTTAAATGACCTGTTGTGGTGTGTTTTGCGCACAACCAGCATGCATCGTTAACGCAATGGAAAATTTAGGTATCCGAGCTTTAATTTCGGGAGCGCTGGTTGCGCTTTGGGAAGAGTCAGGGGAGAGACATGTCAGAGACACAGGGGAGAAACGCGGGAGATACGAGGGAGACCCGCACTTGCAACATGGTTCTGTCTGCATATGGTCCGAGCTCGGTACCATGTTAGAGCTGTGCTTTCACTGAGCGCCGCGGCTGTCATTACAAAGCGGCAGCAGCTGCACCAGGACGTGCTGTCACACATTTCACAGAAATTACATTATCAGCAGATAAAGGTTGTAAATCGTGGATCCGTGGAATATTTTCATCCCTAGTTTATCCTGATTCACACAACACACCCACTTATACATTTTGGATAGTAAGAGCACAATAAGTATTTTTTCAGCCTTTCAACCAACCTGTTTCTTTATTGGAGCCAGTTCTGTTCTGTCTCTGTGCCGTGTGAGCTCCTCGGGACATTAAACAGTGCGCTGACAGATTAGAAATAACGTAAGTACTTTGAATGGTAATAGATCTACAGTACTTTCCTCTGATTACTCACGTGCTACAACGCTCAGGGAACGAAAAAAAACACTTGCTTCACGCTGGCTAACTTTTAAAAATTAAACAGTCGCTCAGTGCTTCAGTTTGGCGCTGAAGAAGACAGCCAATCACTGCAGAGAACGGAACGGGTCACGTGCTGCTGCTGCTGCTGTTGCTCTGGAGGCGAGGAGGAGGCGCGACGTGTGCACAAACGGAAGACATGTGTCCCGGACCGTCCGGGTCACGGGACATCATGTCATTTTGGTGGGGACTTTTTAGTCCTCACCATATATTGGTGGGGACATGTCCCCATGGTCCCCACGCAAACCTACGCCCTTGCAAGAAACGGCACTTCAGGTCACCTCAACAGAGGTGGACCATCCACTGGGAGGAGCAGGACAGGTCAGAGCAGCAGAGGTGATGTAGCCTCTGGGTGGAGCAGAACAGATCACAGCAGCAGAGGTGGAACATCCACTGGGTGGAGCAGGAAGGGTCACAGCAGCAGCGGTGGTGTAGTCGCTTGGTTTGGACCATTTTCTCTGCTCTAGTCCAAAGTAAAAAGCTGAATTCTTCAGGTGGATTCAATCTGCCCGGTTTGGTCCGCAAATTCTTTGGGCTCCACCATGATCCTCCAAGGGCGGGGTGTTTTATTTGGACTATACATCATACAAACACAATTCAAATACCACACCAACTAAATAAGAACACCACTAATTGTAAAGTATGAATAACATATCTGAATACAAGTGTAAATAGTTGTGTATATAGTGTAGGCCTACATGTCTGTGTCCCTGGGTGGGTGGATGTCTTGGTTTGGGCCACTGCATAAAAAGGGGAGATTTAATTTTTTTAAGGGTTTTTCTGTTGTGTGCATGGGGGGGATGAAAGAAGTGTTTGTACAATTTCTGCAAATTCTGGACCTGTGTTTTACATCCCGTCCTGGTGAAAGGCTGTCCCAGTAGCTCAAACGCTACAGAACTGTTAACAAAATAAGGGTTTGGAAAAGAGATTTAAGGTCCACTTTTCACAATACATGCTGGAGATGTAAATCAGTTCCGGGTGATGTGGTTCATATGTTTCTAACATGCACAAATTTGCCAAATTATTTGACGGAAGTTATAGATAAAATTAGTAAAAGCCTGAAAAATAATGTTGTGCTGACTTGTGTCTTTTGAACAGACTGGACAAGGATACAATCATAATCATAATAAAACTGGTGGAAGACTGTACTCACTACAGCCAAAATAATTATTTTGAGACACTGGAATGGTCAGAATGGTCGTACATACGGCATTGTCAGAAACTTCCTCATATGAGGCAGGTCCTTTTTTACTACAGTGGAATATCCATATTAATGGCCCTTTTTCCCCTTTTTGACTGGTTGTGGGAGGAGAAAATTTAGAAAAAGTCTGTTAAAAGTTGAAATACACAGAAGCTGTAACATATGAAATTATGTCTATTGTTGTATTTTGTTGGGTGTGTAGTTGATATGTTAAATGTTTGTGTTTAAGTGTTGGAGAACTAAATAAGAATATTATTGCCAAAAAAAAGAACAAGACACACAGGGATCTTCCCCTGCACTTTCTGGAGGAGCCCTGTTTCTGTTTCAGGGGAGCTACATTAAATCCTTCTGACTTTTGTCCTCTAAGTTCTTTGCACCATAAAAAAAACACCCTGACAGCAGCGAGGTTAGAGGCCATAGTGACTGGTCTTGACCTGAACCTTAGAGCTGTATAGTGGACCAGGTCAGGATTTAAAGGCTGCATGGTGGACATTGATGTTAGTATCTTTCTTGGTAGCCGCGTTCCTGTCAGACTTCAGAGTTTGTTTTTGCTTGAAGCGCAAGGTTATCTTCAAGGCACTTGCTTGCCCTTACTTGCACTTAACTGACCTGACTCCAAATGCTGGAAATGATCTTTTGCCAAAGAGACCCAGGATCAGATTGGTCCCAGGCAGATGTTCTGGGCGAGGGGTGGGTCTCACAGGGTTTAAATGGTTACCAGACAAGTGTTATTATTGTACCTGCTTTATTCTTGATGAGGCTCCACTCTGAGTAACTGTCCAAGTGCTCCAGCAGGCGAGAGCAAAGGGTCACATTACCCACATAATCCAATAGGAGGTCCACAATAGGCCCCACCCACCTGCTCGCCGATGCAGACGACATCATCTCACAGAACTGTCAATCAAACCGAACAAGGAGAGACAAAATAAAAATTAAAGATAGCTGTGTGTAAATCCCAAATTACTATTAGGCCGGGAGCCAGACCCCCTCCACGTAATATGTTTTGCTATGTTTTTTAAACTATTATTTAATGTTGTCTTATACCTTGGGCCTTAACAAGTTGATTGGACCCACTCCCAACTCGACCCTAATTGCTCCTGGGGTCCGCCTTTTGCAAAAGAATGTCATTGAAAATATGAAGGTGCTGAAACCACATACAGTATCAACCTAAAATTTGGCATGGTGGCATCTGACACATGGGGGAAACTAGGAAAAAATATGTTGGAGTTTTTAAAACAATATATCACCCACAACATTAAAACACATAAAAACATCCAAAGAGATTATAAGGAATTTATATGATACCTCTAAAAATGCCAAGATTCAAAAGCTTCAATTCGAGACCAAGATCACCTTTCTTTCTAAACGATTTCAGATTCTATGACCAAAGTTCAGCTCTAAACCTCAAATTGCAGAAAGCTGAACTACAGTACATGCCTTTCCCTTCCCAAATGGGATTGGGCAGGTTTCTTGCATCTTCAAACATAAGAGCTTATACATGACTTATACTGCTATATTAAATCGAGTGAATTAAATGGAAAATCAGTCATATTAAAGCCAAAAACAGGGTACAACCACTGAATCAATTAACCAAATATGAGATTTAATAAAGGACAAAGAACATGTAGGCATATATACTGGAGTAGAGATATCCTCGCCTTTTCTTACATACAATATAAAAGTTAGTTTTTTGTTTAGTTTAGCTGTTTGGATATAGTTGGATGCACTAACTGACCAGAGTCATGTTTATGCCTGTATACTGAATATGCCTTATATCTTCATTGTCCTTTATGAAATCTCCCGTTTTGTTCATTGATTCTTTGGTTTTACCCTTAATATTACTGACTATTCATTTAATAAGTTTGATATAATAAAGCAATATATAAGCCAAGTCTAAACTTTTATGTTTGAAAATGCAAGAAACCTGCCCAATCCCATATCAGATTTGAGGTTTAGAGCAGAACTTTAGTCATAGAATCTGAGATCATTTAGATCGAAAGGTGATCTTGGTCTTTAACCCTTTCATTCATGAATTATGATCGCCTTCTTCAAGATTTTTTCCCCATGTGTTGTAATTACTCTTCAAACCTGAAAAGATAGAAAATATTACAATTTTGAAAAAAATCTTCACAGAGTTGGTGGCATGTAGAGTGGACAATGTGCATTTGAATAACGGAATAAGAATACTGTAAACACAGTGAGACATTTTGTATTGATCTTTAGCATTGTATTTTCCTTATCTTAACACATTCCAAAACTGTAAAATGTGTTATCTGAAAAGTAAACCACAGAAAAACACTGACTAAATGACTGAAATAGTATGATGAACTTGGCTGGTACTAATCAGCATAGAACTAAAACAAGACTTTCAAATCTGCATGGGCGCGTATACATCTGAGGTATTTGAGTATGACATGACCAAATGAATCCCTAGAAACTTCTTCAGTTCACTCAGTGCAATGCCCAGTAGTTATTTTCCATTTTGCAATGCAGAGAGGTCTGAGTTGACCATTATATCATCAATCAGCTCTTTTGTAATTTGATGATTAAAGAAATCTATTGGGGCTCCTCCCTCAATCTTCACCAACTACTCTCCTAAAAAGTAAAGAGTAGATTGTCCCTCAAACTTATTATCTTTGGCTTTGCAGACATGTCTGCTATCAATATTTTTGTGTTATTGTGCTTGGTCAAGTCGGAAAGCACATTTCCCTCAGCCTCTCCCTTCACCTCAAATTCCTCGGGATCTTCTTCTCCTTCTACAACTACAACTTCACTGTCACAGCTGTTGCAATTTTCTAATTGTCTTTTGTCTGGTACCATTCTTCATCATTCCCAATAACATCACCCTCACTTGAGTCAGATGGTAAAGTCTGGATAATTCCAGGCTTTTATAATCTGCTCTGCCCCTGATCGCTATAAAACACATGGAAAAGGAGAATTATTCTCATGATATACCTAATATTCGCAAGATATAATATATAAAATAATGTAATTTATTTGCATCCAAAACTGTAATGAAAAGTATTTCCAGAAACAACAAAGTTGCAGAAACACTATGCACTGTATTCAAAATATAACTAGTGATGCACAACGTCCACTTTAGTGGACACATGATTAATTGCAATTTCCTCAAAACAGAAAATCAATACTTGGATGTTAGATGTTATTTGATGTCCACATGTTTGTTTTACCTGCTAAACCTTCCTGGAATATAAAGTATGAAAAGATTTTCCTCCTCATTTTCTCTTTTGTCGTCCATCTTTTTTTGAGATTATTATTATTATTTTTTTTTTTACAATTGTATGTTTACCAGTATGTAGCAGTGCAAATGGCAAGACACACTAGGGTCCACTATAGCGACTAAAGTGCAACTGTGACTTTAAAACTCACACATATGGAAGAAACCAACTATTGAATAGCTGTCCACTGTAGTGACCGCTATGCATTGAAGCTTATGAATCTGGGCAGTTTTTAAATTACATTTGAAAAATGATATTTACAATAAAATGCTTAAAAAAGATCACTTTGGATGTCAATTTTTCAGGGGGAAAGACATTTTGTGTTTTCTACATATTGTGGGTGATACTTTAAAATAGAAACGTAGAACCATCAAGATCTTTCTTTCCTGGTTTCCCCCATGTGTCAGGAGCCACTCTGCAACATTTTAGGTTGATATGACAATGTAAGTGGTTTCAGCACCTTCATATTTACAATCACAACCTTTTGCAAAAGGCGGATCCCAAAAAACAAGTTTTTTAGCCTTGAAACCATAGACTGTAAAAATTAACGCCTATCTCCGCCGTTCTAACAAATACTGGAGCTATCCAAAATGGCCGCGAGTGGTCCCGCCCACAAGAAAATTGTGAAAAAATGCATCTGCGCATGCATCTGCGCATGCATCAGCCGGCGCGAGCTCCATTCATTTGAACGAGAGACTTCAAAAATTCACAGCAAGTAAACTATAGTGGTCCAAAAAAATTCACCCCCCTCAGCATTGACACACATGTGGAACGGACATGTGGCTAATTCTTCTTCTGGGTCCACCCCATTTGCCCGGGGAGGTATTGCAAGCATGTCAGCGCACGTCATTTTGGCCACTTTTGAGCCGGGACCCACCCCCATGAAACCAACCTCTTCAACATGATGGGGAAATTGACAAGAACCTCAAAGTATTCCTTTCATTGCAGACGGTATGATATCCCCAGTTAAGATCAGAAGCTCTCCACTCATACTGCAAACTGTGTTGACAAAAAACGACCGCCCCCTTCTACATAGGTTGTTAAGAATATATATATTTTTCTCATTACCTCCATGGTGCGTGTGTTGTTCTCTGGTCGGCTGCTGAGCGGTGGGTGTGGCATGTTGCCGTAGGAGCAGGTGAAACATGGCGCCCCCTGCAGGCCGTGGTCCAGCAGCACTTTGAGTAGTAGTGGATCGCGGGCAGTGAACATGATGAGAGGAGGGAAAGACGTGGTGAGACCCGGCACGCTCACGTTCACCTGCGCCCCGTGTTCCAGCAACAGGTTTACTGTCTGCAGCGCGCCCTGCCGTGCTGCCACAGCCAGCGGAGGAAGAGTATCCAGGTCAGTCTTGGCTCCGTGCGACAGCAGAAGGCGCACAGCATGTATGTTCACATTAGCGACGCTGAAGTAGAGCACAGAGCGGCGGCGGTCCTCATACAGGGTGCTGCGCTCATCGCTCAGCAACGCATTCACTTCATAGCTATGGACAAAAGAAATAGAGTGAATAAAGGACTCCAGGTACAGAGCTCATCACATCGGAGAATAGGGAATTTATATTTTTGTAAACTGAAGTCAACAATAACTGACATCAGCCCAATCTCAATTACTTTTGTACCTCTACCCCTTGACTATAATGGTTACGTTTCTTTGTCCAAAATCTCAAGATACGCCTTGCCCCCGCTGCATAAAAGCATTCCCAAACTGCAATGTTTACACCTCCATGTTTCTGTGGGTATGTTCCAGCCGATACAGGGTATGGTCCCAGCCAATCCAAGATGGCGCCCTGTTCAAATGAAAGGCTTCTGCTAAGTGGCGCATGTGCCACCATGGGGACCGAGAGATTAAGCGGAGCACGCCCATATTTGGGCATCATCTGGTCCTCCCAGTTCTAGACAGTGGACAAGCTCCCATGATGCTTTGCGCCAAATACACGTGTGTGGGGCTTAGCAGTGCTTTGACCAATCAGAGCTGCTGATCAGAGCGGCCCCATAGCGGGGGAAAATGAGCAGAGTTTGTTGCATTAAAGTGTGGATTTAAAGAAAACTGAAGGATTTAAGAAGAAAGAAGTTCAGGACGACAAGGGACACTAAAATCCCCACAAAATCCGATCTTAATGAAAGCTGCAGGTTTTCTGTCAGGTGAGGTCGAGCTGTTTTAGTTTACATTGAATTCTATGGGTCCTTTTTCTGGGGAGCCCTTGTGAATTTAGTCTGCAGTACCAAGGGCGGTACTGCACCTGTGCCCTTGGGTGGGACAGCTATAAGATAGTAATACCCTATCCAGATATTATAATAGATCCATGCGTCCAGCTTATGTCCAGGACTGTCTAAAATTTCCCAGTGACCATCTGGATAATCCAGACGAGGCCTCAAAGAATATCACACCTTAACTACAGTGAAGCATGGTGGAGGAAACATGATGGTTTGGGACTGTTTTTCTTTAGAGGGGACAGGACAACTTATTAATAAAGGAAGAACAAAAACCTAGCAAGGGCATGACATACCCCTCGGGCAACGAAGGAGGGGCTCTGTAAGAAGCATTTAAAGGTCCTGGAGTGGCTTTAGTCTCCAGACCTAAAGTCAATGGAAAATCTGTGGAAGTTGAAAGTCCCTGTTGCCAAGCGTCAGCGGCAGAACATCACAGCTCTATTGAAGATTTGTATGGAAGAATGGGCCAATACAACAGCTAAAGCGTGTGGGAACCGATGGGACCTACACACATCAAACGTTTGATCTCTATCATTGTATTGTCACTTTTGTTGCATTATACAAATATCCTAACAAACAATACATTGAGCAAAACCTTTGTATTGCAATAAATGTTGCTAAGCAAAAGCATACCACTCTTAAAAGTCGTTGTTGGGGTAATTGTCATGGATGCTCACGTCAAAGTGTAAAGGTTGATTGGGCTACATTTCTGAAAGGGCATAGGCCTATTCGACTTAATGGGAGATCCACTATTTAGGTGAAAAGGCTGTTATGATGATAAGTCATAAATGTGTATGTAATGTAAACAGACCCTGCTTTCAGGAGCATCTCCAGAACTTCGTCTCTGTTCCTTTCGGCGGCAAAGTGCAGGGGACTGATACCGCTGCGCCGCACACAAGTCCGACTGGTCTTTGGGATCAACAGTGACGCCATCCTGTGGACAGACATATTGCCAATGTCAAGAACAAAACTAGATTCAACACTGCAATCTGCTACAACTACGCAGATTTAAAATGACTCTTGTCTGTATGCCACAGCCGATAATGTTCCATTTAATTCAGGTTAATGCTGCAAACTTGACATTGCAAGCGCACTTCCTCATGGGGGATCCTCCCAAATAGATACAAAACAAATTGAAACATACAAAATTGCTAAGAAATTCACAGTAGGCTGAAAAAAATAGACAACATAAAGGTTCATTGCACCCAATTGTTTTGATAAGTGTGTTTAATTTCAAAAGCCTTTTAGTTTGCAAGTTGATGTGAACCATGAGTGAGGCATGGATCCACATACATCACTGAAGTACTAGACAATTAAGTTCTTTTTTTTGCTTAATGCGTGTCAAACAGACTCAGATGAATATGCAATTTAGGTGGTCACAGTTGGCGGCATAACTGCCCCGTAACTCACATCTTCAGGTTAAGCAGTGGGGGAGGGTCCCAGCTCAAAAGTGGCCAAAATGACGTGCGCTGACATGCTTGCAATACCACCCCGGGCCGATGGGGGTGGACCCAGAAGTAGAATTAGCCAATGCTAACATATAGCATTGGCAGACCTCTCAAAAACGTCTTTACATGATGGACCAAAAGTTGGCTCTTGGCCCAAAGCTCTGTTCCACATGTGTGTCAATGCTGAGGGGGGTGAATTTTTTTGGTCCACTCTACTTTACTTGCTGTGAATTTTTAAGTCTCTCGTTCAAATGAATGGAGTCGCACCGGCTGACGCATGCGTTTTTTCACAATTTTCTTGTGGGCGGGACCACTCGCGGCCATTTTGGATTGCTCCAGTAGAGCACATTTTTTGGCCCATTAGTTAGAACGGCAGAGATAGGCGTGACTCTGTCCATTAATATATACAGTCTATGAGGTTAAGATGAACTCACTTGAGGAAATGGGTGGAGTCTGCTCTGCTCCTGTTTGGTCTGATTAAAACCTACAGCCACAGTGGCTCTTTCTGGACCAGTTTGGACACTTTATGTCTTTATCCCTTTGTTCCATGAACGCAATAATAGTTCCTGAAATCCTAGAATCCCTGTCCTGGACCCGTAGATTAGTGTCTGTCGTTTGGATTTAGCTTTTCTTGAGACAACTGTTCTTGTGATTTTTGGGCTATACAGAAATAAATTGGAATGAAAGGTGTTGAGGTGCTCAACATCCCCTGTTTGCCATGCTGCATAAAGAACATGTCTGAAGATTCCAGAGTAGCTTCTTTGTGGTTGTAACTAAGGGCACAGTCACATTTTCGGTTTTTACAAACGAACTAGTCCCAGTGGCCCGGATCGTCACCACAGGAGTGTGAAGACGGCCCGCTTTATTTTCTCAAACGTGCCAGACCAACTGTGCTGTCGTACAACTCTCGGTCCAGCTGGTGGCGCCAATGCTTCAGCGACTACCTCGTTGTTCGAGTTAAGTTTCCGTTTCTCTTCCTGTTTACATTCTGTTACTGTAGCACTAACAGCTCGAGCACGAATTGCGTTGTTTGCATCAAAGCAATGTGAACAAGTGTCTTTCCCCAAAGTGCAGCAGCTCAGTGGGTAATATGCGTGTGTGTGGGTGTGTCTGTGCGGGCGCGCGCAGGGAAACGGGAGCGTGCCTTGAAGTAAAGAGTATAAGTGCTGCAAAATGAATGAATGAGAATGAAAAAATGTAAAGTTTGGCGTACGAGCAGATCGACCGGAGACAGGCAGGATACAAGTGAATGTTGGTGTGTGTTCTAGCGATTAAATAAAGTCTAATTCTTGAATGTCTGAAGTGTTATTGCAATAGCACCGCACTGTGAGAGCGAGGGTCAGGACAGAAGGGAGTTCTCCCCGTAGTGAACGTGTGTTTCTACGTCAATACAAACTGGTGTAACGATGTGACAGTGATCTACAAGCACTGCTCTCCTGCTCTGGAATATCTTTTCATTCATTGTAAACCATTTTACTCCCCGCGCGAAATTGTTTCATTCATTCTTGCCTTTGTTTACATACCGCCATGCGCGGACGCGCGCGAGGCTCAGCGCGCACTCGCAGAGCAAGTACTGTGTATGGAACGTTTATACCCGGACTCTCTGATTATTATCCTGGGGGATTTTAATAAGGGAAACTTGAGCCAGGAATTACCCAAATACAGACAGTTTATCAAATGCCCGACCAGAGAGGAGAACACTCTGGATCACTGTTACACCACCGTGCGCGGAGCTTTTCGCGCTGTTCCCAAGCCAGCCCTCGGCTTCTCAGATCACTCCATGATACATCTGGTTCCTGCTTACAGACAGAGACTAAAGCTCTCGAAACCTGCAATGAGGAGCTCCAAAGTGTGGTCTGATGAAGCTGTGGAAGAGCTGCGCGCATGCATGGAATCTACAGACTGGGACCTTTTCAGAGCTGCCACAGATAGTTTGGATGAATACACGGACACTGTGACGTCATACATTCACTTCTGCGAGGATAGCATCATTCCAACAAGGACCAGGGTCATCTATAACAATGACAAACCCTGGTTCACTGCTAAACTCCGGCAGCTCAGGAAAGCAAAGGAGTCTGCTTTCAGGGAGGGGGACCGCAGCGGCTACAAAGCAGCTAAATATCAGTTCAGGAAAGAACTGAAAGCAGCCAAGTCCCGGCACAGAGAACAACTACAGGAGCAGTTTGGTAACAACGATACTGCTTCTGTCTGGAGGGGCCTACGGGAGATAGCCAACTACAAACCCAAAGCCCCCCCCTGTGCTGACGACCACAAGCTAGCTGACGAACTGAACTTATTTTTCAGTCGCTTTGATGCTGCCCCTGACACCTCTCCCTCCCCCACCCCCCACTACTCTAACGACCCACCCATCAGCCCTGCCCCCAGCCTAACAATAGCCGCTAAAGAGATTAAACAACTCTTCTTGAGGCTGCACCCCCGCAAAGCTCCTGGCCCGGACCACGTGTCTCCGGCCACTCTGAGACACTGCGCCAGTGAGCTTACTCCTGTGTTCACTGACATTTTCAACACCTCTCTGCAGTCCTGCCATGTCCCGGCCTGCTTCAAATCTTCCATCATTGTCCCCGTCCCGAAGAAGCCCAGGATCACAGGACTCAATGACTACAGACCTGTAGCACTTACGTCTGTCGTCATGAAGTCATTTGAACGCCTGGTTCTCTCCCATCTCAAGTCCCTCACCTCCCCCCTCCTGGACCCCCTGCAGTTCGCCTACAGAGCCAACAGATCTGTAGACGACGCCATTAACCTGGCCCTCCACCACATCCTACAGCACCTGGACTCCCCGGGGACCTACGCCAGGGTCCTGTTCGTGGACTTCAGCTCTGCCTTCAACACAATCCTGCCATCCCTGCTCCAGGACAAGCTCTCCCAGCTCAACGTGCCCGATTCCACCTGCAGGTGGATCACTGACTTCCTGACGGACAGGAAGCAGCGAGTGCGTCTGGGGAAGAATGTCTCGGACTCTCGGATTATAAATACAAGAGCCCCACAGGGCTGTGTTCTTTCTCCCCTGCTCTTCTCCCTGTACACCAACCACCGCACCTCCAGCCACGACTCCGTGAAGCTGATCAAGTTCGCGGACGACACCACCCTCATTGGACTCATCTCCAACAACGATGAGTCCGCCTACAGGAGGGAGGTGGACCGGCTGGTGTCCTGGTGCAGTGGTAACAACCTGGAGCTGAACGCCCAGAAGACAGTGGAGATGATTGTGGACTTCAGGAAGAGCACTGTCCCCCCGCCCCCACCCTCCGTGATGGACTCCCCCATCACCTCTGTGGAGTCCTTCCGTTTCCTGGGCACCACCATCACCCAGGACCTCAAGTGGGAGCCGACCATCAGCTCCCTCATCAAGAAGGCCCAGCAGAGGATGTACTTCCTGCGGCAGCTCAGGAAAGCCAAGCTGCCTGCACAGATGTTGGTGCAGTTCTACACGGCCATCATCAAGTCCATCCTCACCTCCTCCGTCACCGTGTGGTTCGCTGGAGCCACAGTCAGGGACAAACAGAGACTACAGCGCATTGTGCGCTCTGCAGAGGAAGTGACCGGCCGCAGCCTTCCATCTCTGCAGGACCTGTACGTCGCCCGAGCTCGAGGCCGGGCTGGTCGTATCACAGCCGACCCCTCTCACCCTGCTCATGGACTATTCCAACCACTCCCCTCAGGCAGGAGACTGCGGTCCATCAGGACTAGAACCTCCCGCCACAAGAACAGTTTCTTCCCCTCTGCTGTTGGACTCTTGAACACTTCTTAACCTGTCCCCCCGCCCTTTATAAAGTCACTTTACTGCCCATCATACGTCACTTTACTTCACTGTACTGCTGTCACCTTACATTGTGTGCACCATGTGCACTTGTATATTGTAAATAGTAGCTGTAACTCTATTTTAAATTTAAATTTATTCTTTAGAAGTGTTTTTTATTTTTATTTTTATTATCTCTTTTTGACTGTTGCACTGAGCCAAAGCAATTTCCTAGTCTGTGACCTCCTGTTACTTACGTGGCAATAAAAATGATTCTGATTCTGATTCTGAATGCTTCCCTTTCGCCCTGTAGCGATACACTCCCCTGCGCCCCTCGTTCACGGTCCGGGGGAGTGTGTATGATAGGTTTAGCACAGGCGAAGAGATAGGCGTGACTACGTCCGTTAATATACTGTATACAGTCTATGCAGAAAGCTCCTTTCTTGTTCTTCCTCTGCTAAGAGCAGCAACAGGTTTGGCTAACATACATATAACACATTTTAATATGATTTAAAAGCCACTTAAGTCAATCTAATGCATCCAATGATGATAGAAATGATAAGGAAGAGAAGTCAAGGGTACGAAAGGTTTATTTTAGAAATTGGATGCACCCGAGAGTCTATAGGAGACACCCGTTTTGTTTTACTTTTTAAATCTCATTGGACTTATTTCCAAATGTAGGATTACATATCTACACTCAAACTATTATCTGGACTTAAACATGAAACTAGTCTCAACTGAAGTGGTCTGTGCTGTTCATAAATAACTAAGTTATGACCATAACACACTTTTAAATGTGCTTTTTACAAACTTTTGCGTTTTGTATGAGCAAACAATGCGGACATAAAACATATTCTGCTGTAGCGCAAGTCCAACCTCCAGGTTGATTACAAGATCTTCAAAGATAAGTTGTGCGAGTTTAACCGGGTACGAGAGAAAGGTGTTAGGATTAGATAGCTATTTGGCATACGTGTAGGACAAGCACAAGACTGTACAAGGACTCTGACGTTGTATCCATATTATGACTATGATTTGATATGCTCTGTCTCTGTGTGACACGTATGTCTTTTGATGTGTGACGTAACAATGACTTTATAAACTGTGTACTGCCTTTTTTCTGTCTGAGAGAAAGAAACATCAGAAACCACTGGAACTTGAGAGGAACTTAAATGAACTTCTGGAGTTTGGCGCACCACGATCCGTCTCTGTCTGGTTCATTCCTGACAGATTTGGTGGAGGATGCGCGGCTCAGTGTGCGCCATTCTCTGGATTGTTTTGAGGGAGTTTCCTTTGTTTCTTTTTCTCGGCGTGAGAGACCGGCATGCTGTGACTGGGAGCGGAGATTCCAGCAGGCTAGAAGAGCTGGTCCTGGATGCTTCTTGTCGCTTCTGTCACTTTTTCTTTTTAAATTGAATTTTCCGACGCAGAAAAGAAGGGGGCAGACCTCTCGGACAGTCCTTGGTACCCATTTGACAAGAATTAGGTAAGCAGACACCTTTTTATATGTAAAGTCTGCATAATTGGATACTAGCTAAATTTTGGTATGTTTTTGAGGTCTGCTAAGTTCTTTCTAAATTGTAAAAAATAGTCTCAGGGTTTAAGTCCCTTTGAGGCAGTCTCAGGGTTTAAGTCCCTTGGAGACACAGTCTCAGGGTTTAAGTCCCTCGGAGACACACAGTCTCAGGGTTTGAGTCCCTTGGAGCAGGATCCTTAGTGAAACCATGGTATAAAAATAAAAAAGCAATAAAAAAGGGAAACGTTAAAGAGTAAGAGTGCCTTTTGTTACTAGTGTGGAAAGTGATCAATTCTATACTTGAATGACAAAAGACTGTAAATTGCATATAAAGTTGAAAAGTGGATAGAGTGAGTCTCTTGTGAATTATATGCATTATAGATTTGGTTTCATGTTATACAACACTTAAAAAAAGGAATCTTGAAAGTTCTTCTTTCTGTTTTTGCATTTTTGCTAAAACACTATTTTCTGCCTGTGTGTGCGCATCTGTGTGACGGGAACCCCTCCCTCCCTTTTGCCGCTGCTGCTTCTGCTCTGATTTAAAGGGGACCTACTGCTTTTAGGATTTTGGCTTTTCATAGTTAAATTTGCGATGGAACATTGTGTTATGACACAGCTAAACGTTTTTAAACACATTTAGGGAATATAAATTTTGGATTATTATGTTTTTGAAACCCAAATATTAGTGCTAAAGCTGTGCAATTCTTTTTAGATTCCATCCTTTTAAATCTTCTGATATTTCTTAACTGTTTGTGAGTTGTGTTTGTTTTTATGTATCTCCATTTTAGTTACAAAAACCGTTTTTCAAAACCTTTAAATTAGAACCCGTGTTAAAAGTGATTAGAATGATTGATTTTAGACTTTGTCCAAAAAGAAAGAGGGAATTAGGATTAATTATAAAAGTATTATATTATTAAGTTGAACTCTACCCAATTCACATTGCAAGTTTATATTTTGTCTATCTCTGACCTTGCTCCTGCTGCTGCTGCCCAGAGACAGGAGGAGGCAGCTCTGACACAACATTTAGTTTTATTTAAACCAAATCCAGTTTAGCTGGAGCTAAATTGTCTTATCTTTTGTTTTTATTTCATAAGTTGTTTTAATGTTTTTCCTAATTCATTTTCATTTTTATAGAGATTTTTCATAGTTTCATTTCATTTCATGGCGCCTTTCAAGAAACCCAAGGACGCATAGATAATTAAACACACAGTACAAAAGTCAACATTTTAAAGTTAAAAAAACTATTTTTGAGTTTTGATTGTGGTTTTTATTACCGTTTCTGGTCCTAAAAATGTCACTCATTAGTAAGATAATAAGTCATCTTTATTTATATAGCGCATGTTGGAAAACCAAGAGCGCTCCAAAATTGTTTTCACTTCAGAGAGAAAAACAATCTCATTCACATACTGATATCTGTTGTTTTGAATTTGACTATAAGGTTGTGTTCCAGAACCAAGGGCACACACTGTACAGGGCCACTGGACTGCGGGAGTGGACACTGAGAGCTCAGACCACAGGAGCCCAGCAACGCCCACCCAGGCACAGGTCACAGATCAAAGAGCAAAGGAAAATGCCACCTCCTTGCCCCTCCCCACGCCACTCCAGAACTGAGTGGGTGTCAGAGAGACCGGGATAGAGAGATGTGTCTGGAGACGTGATGGGTGGAGCATCAGGGAGAGACCTGGATGTGTCCAGTTGGTTTACATCACCACAGTGTGACCTTTGAGACCTACAGGTGGTTCGAGGAGTCTGGAGACACAACCCCAAAATTCACATACATCCACACACACACACACACATACACACAATCATACACTCACACATTCACGTTTACACATAGATACATGAAAAAGCAGAACATGAGAGAAAAGCATTAAAAGTTTACTCCAATGTAAACAAATATTTTTAATTGTCTATCACTTGAATCTTTATTTGAATCAGTTTTTTTGAGACCAGAAATGTTCATTTGAATTCAATATTGTCATGGACTTAATTGACCTCTGTCCTGACACTTTTTATGTTTTGATTTGTTGATTTTGTACTGTGTGAAGTAATTACATTTATTAGGATTAGATCCGATGAGCCACTACATTGAATGACAATAATATTGGCTGAAAGAAGAATCAAAGTGACTAACCATAGAGAGTAACTATTGCATAACAAGCTGTGTACAGGAACTGTGAGACCGTAACACCATGACCAGATGAGCATCTGGAGTGACCAGAGCAACCCAAGTGACCGATGTGCATCTGGAGTAACCAGACCATGACTTGGACCCTACTGATGTCCAAGATGACATCTCTCGAAATATGACCTGACCTGATGACGACTGAGACTCACCCTCAGGAGGACCTGAGGACCTGAGAGAGAATCATGCCATTGATGAGTGCTAAATGAAACATATACTCATGATTCTTCTTTTGTTTTTGTTTGTCCCTAGCTTCGGGACATCTAATGATCTATTGGACACAGCAATTTGCAGAACAAAAATTGTCTATTGCCGATGCTATGGCTACAACCAGAACCACAACTGTGACCAAATGCAATATATGTAAAGTATGTAAAGTATTCACACATCTGACAGACAAAAACTTTGACTTTTTAGTCTGGGAGACTAAATGCAACTAGGCCCTACTCTGGGTAGCCTGGTCTTACCACACAATCGTACAAATGTAATTTTGTACTGAGGTCTGGATTTGCTCCATTGAGCTCTGCAGGTGGGAGGGGTTAACTCCTTTTGCAAATTTAAACGATTGGATCTAATTTTGCCGGGCGTATGTAAGTGAGTCGCTAGCATTTAGCATTTAGCCTAGCCATCTCCTTTGCCACTAAAGCAGCCTGTTGGGAACAGAGCCACAACATCTTTGCCAGCAATGAAATCTGCTAAACATTCCTCTCGCTCCAGCTTAAATTTTTTGATATTTGGAGACAAAAACCAGAACAGATTTCCTTTCTATCGCATTCGCCGCCATTTCCAAACTACAACCACCTACACAACACCCGCCTCCCCAGCTTGCTGATTGGTTGGATGGGATACAACCGAGGTAACTAAAGACACTGGGAGCAGACCCATACGTACATGTACGGAAACAATATGTAATTGACCTGAGTTTATGGATGGCCAGGCTATACTCTGAGGGATTTGTCATCCGTATTCAGGTAACTGAAACCATGTTGAGTTATGTGGTTCTTCTATACCAGACAAATATAAGATAGCTATAATTACCTTGACATGTTTTGACAACATACTTCCGTCTTCCCCAGAAGCGTGTTGGCTCGGTTGGACTGGTGTGACATTAATATTATAATTTCTTCCCCAATAATAAAATAATGGTGTAAACATTTTGGGTAGTACATACGCTTCGTTGCCGTTCTTTGCAGCCATGTGCAGAGGCAGAAGTCCAGTTCTTCCTGGTTTGTTAGCATCTGCCTTATGTGACAGCAGCAGCTCAACTGCCTCCTCCTGACCTTCTTTAACTGCTTCGTACAACGCTGTATTCCCATCAGTCGCCTGCGTGTTGATGTCCCCACCTTTAAAGTCAACCGGGATAAATTACTACGTTGGTTTTGGTGACATTTAAGTGGTAACAGCAAAAGCAGACGGCACCTAAAGAGAAACCCTGGAGTGTTTTTTAAATTATCATTTTATTTTGAGGATCAGTCCCCATTTGAAAACGGCATCAATACTTGAGTCCAATACAAACATTTCTGACCGTGTTTGATGACTAAGCGCAGAGTGTCCATGCAGCCATTCTGAGCTGCGGAAAACAGGGGTGTGATGCCAAACATGTTTGGTGTGTTGATTTTGGCTCCAGCCGAGATCAACATCTGGAATATCTCCACATCGTTGTGGACCGTCGCCTCCTGTAGAGCGGTACAGCCCTGGATGCAGTGCTTGTTCACTGCTGCTCCATGGTTCAATATAGCAGCCACCATGGCGGCGTTATGGAATTCACAGGCTGAAAATCAGGAGAGATGTATTTGATTGTGACCATGTATGTTAAAGACAATTGCAAAGCAAACAGATCATTTCCATCTCTTTCCCAAGAGGGTAACATGTAAATTACTGGGGATCTGAGAAATCAAAGATTATAGCATTGATGTTGCAAAAATCCTCACGTTTGATAATATGTAATATGATCTATGAGTTGGGTTAGAACTTTGGCTGTCACGCGAGGTAAACGATATTGATGAGCAAATGTTATCTATTTTGTGATAAAAGACCCCTATTTGAGACACTCCATCCTTTCCCTCCATGAGCAGTACTATGTGCTGGGGCTGTACCTTTGAAGAGGGGTGTCTCCTTGTCGAAGTTGGGAATGTCTGGATTGGCTCCGTTCTCCAGCAGCACCAGGGCACAGTCCAGACTGTCTCTCTGCACTGCCACCAGCAGAGCAGTCTCCCCACGAGCAGATTGCTTATTCAGCATCCCATGCTGGACTGCACACAATGAAGGTTTAAAATATTGTGATAGTATGGGTAGTATGGTAGTAGAGTGTATTACTGCAGTAATTAATTGTTTGGAACAATGTTAAAAGCACAAGGAGCTCAGTGACACCAAAGGACACAGAATATCAAGGATACAACTCTGACGTACGAAAGAATGATTCTTTCTCTGGTGATGAAGGCCTTCACAGCAGTTGCAAAGATCATGAAACTGCTCCAGGAGGCATCATTTCCAAGATGGTAAATAGTCTTTGTTGACAGAAAGTGTGGATTTTTTGGACTTTTACATCCATTGGACTTGATCTGGTACATCCCTCTTGTTTGATGCCCAGAGCCCAGTCCTGGCTGCAGAGCAGTGGTGTAAAACTCTGAGGGACTGATTGGTGATTTCATTCAAACTTCCTTCTACTTGACTGGGAATTACAGGAGAACGAAAGACGCTAGAAACAAACTCTTTTTGATGATGAAAGTCGTCAATCCATTCTCTCAGAAAATGGATTCAGATTTCACACAGTCATAGTAAACAACATTCTGTGGGTCCTAAAAATCAGTGAAAATCATCATAAACGGCTGGCAGTCAATTAGTTTAAGGCCCCAAAGGGCTTGTTCAGCCATCAATCGCAAGTGAAACCGAGTTTAATTTAAGTGAGCCAGAAAGGGCAAAAAAACTTAATTTAATGGTACAAACAACATCCGACTTACATGTAATCATGTTTTTTAATGTATATGTAGTGTAGCGGCTTTAGCTGAATGAATGAAGGCTCGTACTGATGCATGTGCCCATTTTCCGTTTTTAATGTAATTGCACAAATTCACCGTAAGAGCTAAAAACCATTAATACATTGAATCAGTTAAGCAGACAAAGAATCATTAATGTGTATTTTAATCACATTAAAATACACACCTTCATCCCCTTTCAGCTAGGCGCGAACCATTTAAACAGTTAAATCCAAAGAAAGTTTAGCTTGAATCACTATTGTCAAAGTTTACAATATGAAGCCCCGTGGGATGCCTGCGATTACAAATGTCACAAATCAATCGATACCCACAATTTGTCACTCCATGTCCAGGCTCTAAACATCCATAACACAACCTTTTCTCCTTTACAAACGAGCGTCGATCAGAAATGGGTAAATCTGTGAATGTTAACAGCCAATTAGTTAATGCTGAACACATTTACTCAACAGAACTCTGCATTTTTCTTCAATTTATTGAAGACAACAGTGCATTATAACAAAGTGCATTTTCCTTAAATATTTGCAATTTTAAATGCTCAGATTATTTGTACACAAATCGTATTATTCTGGAAATTACCACAAATCAACATTTAACTTTCCAAGGGTACAGTCTGAGCTCACACAAGCACAAAATCTTGGTGATTCAATTCTTTTTTGTGACACCATGTACTGCCATAACATATTTCACTATGAAATCACTTTAATCCTACATCTTGCTTTAACATTTGGCACAACAACAAATCCACCTCATAGCAGGATGGATTTTAAAATCTAAAGGCTAAACCAGATTTGTCCTCAAAAAGGCACAAATCACTGCAGCAACAAAACAATAACCTGAGGATACTCTTGGTAATGCTAGTTTTATCCTATGACTTGAGATTTTTGTTCAAAAACAGAAGTTGGTCAACATGGTTTGAGCTTAGTACACTTCTCTGTGCTGTTACGATATCGCCTGCCGTAGAGAAAACACGCTCCGAGGAGACACTAGTCCCTGGAATGCACAGGTACACTTTGGCAAGGTGTGACATTAGTTGATATTCATTCTGGTGCTCTTTCCACCAACTGAGTGGACTTCCCTCAGCAAGAGACAGGGGTGATGCCTCCTTGTACCTTGACATCTCCTCTTCTGCCTGGGCTTGTGTGGTTCTGTTTCTCACCGCAGGACCTGCACTGTAAGTTGAACCAAGCAGATCAGCCAAACAGCACAAGTCCTTTTTCTTCTTGGGTGGTGGCGGGCTGGCAGGAATGTCATCCTTGTCTTCCACATGATTGTCCTCTTTTCCTGGTATCCCTTCAGCCTCTTCCTATAATGCAAAATACAGATTTGTTATCAATAAACCCATAGTTAATTCAATAAGGAGCATATTCAAAGACGTATAATAGTTAGTTTGCCTTTTATTTAATGCGATGAACTGACAAACCTTTACAATATATTGTTTTGCTAATATAGTGCTTTACATGAAGTATATGTTTCGTTTTTTAAGCTCTAACATACTATTATGAATTTGAAATTATGAACTGAATATTTCGTTTTATTACACTTGGTGGATATATATATATATATATATATATATATATATATATATATACATGTGTCTGTTTTTTTATGTGTTTTAACCATGTAATGTTAATGACACAGTGAAAGGGCTTACCTGAAATAGTTCTTGAATTCTTCGAGCTTCTGCAGTAATTCTCAAATATATTTCCTCTCGTTCATCATCAGGAAGGAAGGGCAAAGCTTTGAATCTTGGATCGAGTGCTGAACATACATACATGGTCGCTTTCTGCTGATCCATGTACCTCTTGCTCAAATCTTGGCAAATAGCCGCTTTGATTTCTTTCACTATCTCACTATCTGCTCTGTTCTCTTGGAAATCCTGGATGAGCTGAGCATGAAGAGGGGCCACAACAGACAGTGTTGGAGAGCTTTCTTTTGACATTACAAGAGTAGCAATCTTCATGGGCTTCATTGCATCCACTATCTCCTCCGCAGATGTAATGTCCGACTCGCATAGGGTGCAAACTTCTTTCTCGGTTTTCCTAAGCTCGTTGGACAGAAGAGCAGCGGAGACAGCGGGTTGCTGCTCAAGAAAGCGCTCGAGCATGTCATGTGCGCTATTCCAGCGCGTCACAACATCAGTGATCAGTTTATGTTCAGGCAACTCGAGCAACTTCTGCTTCTGTCGAAGTACGTGGCTGGCTGTGGTACTGCGCTTAAAAAAGGTGGAGACGTCCCAATAAACGAGCGACAGCAGGAAGCTTCAGTGCACGCTGCGAGGCCAGGTTTAAAGTGTGAGCGAAACACCTGAAATGCAACATACCGGCAAGCTCCGCTGCGACGCTCATATTTGCGGCGTTGTCAGTGACAATAGCCGGGTCTTTGGATACGAGGTCCCACTCCTCCAGCGCCGCTTTAAGTAACTCCGCAATGTTCGACCCCGTATGGCTCTGGTGCATGGCTCGCGTTTGTAAAACGTGCGACATCAGTTCCCACTCCTCGTTAATGTAATGGCAAGTGATTGTAACAAAGGCTTCCGTGGCTCGCGATGTCCACCCGTCACAAGTCAGTGCCACTCGTGGGGCAGAACTCAGGGTTGACTTAACATTGTCTTTGACTTTGTCATACATTCTCGGTACTGCTTTGTCGGTCATGTAGCTGCGGGTAGGGATCACATAACGGGGATCTAACGTGTTGATCATAAAGCGAAAGCCTGTGTTTTCGACAACACTGTAGGGACATAAACCTTTGCAAATATAATGCACCACAGACTCCGTAATCTTCTGTGCACGGACTGAGTTAGATGGAAGCTTGGATGTTGCGCTGTCCAAAGTAGTTTGCGTGGGGTCCCGTGTTTTTTTGGGCTGCGGCGAAGCTAGCTTGTCTGCATGGTGTCTTTGCAGGTGGGCGCGCAGGTTAGTTGTATTACCGGTGTGGCGTATAGAAGCCTGGCAATGCTTGCAGATTGCATTTGTTTTATCGATCCCTTGGTTTCCTTCCTTTGCTTTAAAACCAAAATGTGTCCAAACATCTGCCTTTAGGGACAACGGCGCTTCTAAAATCTTTGACATTTTCTATGAGTTTTTTCTTTTCTTTTCTTCTTCTTCTCTTAGCGTGTTTTGTAACTCGCGGGCGCTGCTGCGCCCCCTAATGGCTGGGCGGAGTATCGATACTAAGGGCTAGAATATCGATACTGTATCTTTTTTTATTATATCGGTATGTATGCTTCCTCCTTCCTCCTCCGTCGAGCAAAGACGTGTCTTAGTCCGCTCCTGCTTCTGAACGGCTTGCTATCTCCTGTTTTTGTCTTTTTTCCTGGAGCTTTGCCACAGACAACTTTAACAGAATGGAAATGATTAATTGGTCCCTCAACGCAATTGATTCTATCTTTTCAACACGTAAGCGTGGGTCTGGAGAGCCCGTGTGTCCGGACGGGACTTCACCAGCGGGGTATACTCTTGACAGCTGGAACAAGTGGCAGCCCCTCTGTCTGTCGACCCTGTCCATTGAAGATTCGGAAGACGTATATATCTTTGGCATTTTGGTGGTGGGAATCCTCCTGTTTGGGTTTGGAGCGATCCTCTTCTACCACAAATTCGGAGGCATGGCAGTTCGCAAGATTCACGACCTGCTGGCCGATAAAATTGATGGGATGTACAAGGAGCTTAGCCGTGTCGTGGTTGAGAGTGCCGTGTCTGGACAAAGAAGGGTGGTTTTGGTGGAACAGTTGATCAAAGACCTCGCAGCTCGTTCACTTGATGGACATAAGACTTTGGAATTGAGATTGAATGACATTGTTTGTCAGGCTTGATCTCTCTGACCCGGCTTGGATTTGCCCCTGTGTACGGAGGTCTGAGGGCACCGGAATTCGGTTTAATTGGAATTAATAGAATATCTGCCTGCTTTTGACTGCGACATTGCAGGCGATGTGTTTTTCTCCTCCTGTGGCTTCTCTCCACTCTTATCTCACATTCCTCAGCCAAGGCCATAAACAAGGTCCCACAATCTACAACAACTCACACTATTTCAGTCTTCAGCAAGGATCCCCCACCCCCGCCTCCCTCTACCTATCCATCTTGCTCCCTCCCTCCCCTCCATTCCTTATTGTTTTCCTACTCACCCCCTCCCTGATCCCGCCCCCCTCTGACAGCTACATTGGGCCGGCCGAAGAGGTGCTCTTCCCGAGAAAAAAATCCGTGGTTTATAAAAAGCACAATGTGTCTATCCAATTGTCTGTGAACTGTATGTTATTGCTCTCTGCTGTTTCTTGCTGCACACAGCGCCGCAAATGGCGAAGTGGCACGCTCTCTGCCAAAACAATTTCCAAGTGATAACTTTGTTACTCACGTGGCAATAAAAATGATTCTGATTCTGATTCTGATGTATCTAAGAATCGATATTTTGAGCAGACTTCAGAATAAACAGACTTCAGAATAAACAAAATGTTCCTTGTAGATTTTAATGTTTATGATTTTCTTGATGTGATACGGGTTGTGAGGCGCTTTGTGTTGGAAAGGCATTCTACAACTAAAAGTTGATTGATTGATGAATTTGTGGAGATGTGAGTCAAACAAGTGTACATTGTTCGAGTACACTTTTGATGGTGTAACATCTCCACAAATGCAGGTATTTCTGAAGTGAAATCTGATTCACTTGTCACTGGAAATTAATGTTTTCCTCCATTGTGAAAGGAGAATTGTTGAACCCCCATTTTGTCTGATCTGCGTTTCACTGGTTCAAAACAAATGAATGTACAAACCAATAATTTCTACGCCGTTCATTCAATTTGATGTAAAGGGTTAACTGATCTTTAGAAACTCCATCACAAGAGCTTATATAATTATATATAGATTATTTTGACTATATTCTTGTGCGAGACACAGATCACATGATGGGTTGTTTGTGCTTGAGGAATCACCTGAGACGAGAGCTCTGAGGCATTCCGTCTGTTTGTACCATGCAGCCTGATGGATGGGCAGCCAGCCAGGTTTACTGGGCTGCATCAAATTGGTCCCTGGTTGGAAAGCCAAGTTTTTCACTTGAGCAGCGTCACCCTCACGGATTGCCATGAAGATAGGCTCCTCATCTCTGGGGAAGAAAACATGAGGTTACAGTACCCTTACCTGTCTCTGTATGAGAATGTGTCCTCTGCAGACCCGTCCTTTAACACCTTATAGGAACACTTTTTATTTTCTTTTTTTAACTTTATTTGATTTACAAAAGAACATACATACATCAAACAACAAAAATATGTGGAGATATACATAATATAGATAATGTGTGTGTCTGTGAGTGCGTGTGTGTGCAGAACAGTACATTGTGCAACATTATTATTAATATGTAGAATATTATAATAATAAAAAAAGAACAGATGATAAGCATAATACTGGATAAATAATGGTAAGTTTTAACCTATAGGTAGATAAGACAAGGAATGACTTGCAGTTATATAAAGAAATGATGCGGTAATAAATGCACAATGAGACAAACATTGAAAAAATAGAAAATGGTCCAACAGATATACCCAGCTACAAGCATATAGGCTTGTAGTTATGGATGAAGTGTTTAAATTAAGGCTTCTTAGTGGCAGTAATAGTGGAGGCAGAGAAGAGGAAAAGAGGAAAAAAATACATATATAAAAAAAAATATAGAATTTATCGAAATATATATATATAACATATACAAATGAGCCATTATATATGGATATACAGTATTTGGCCCCCTTGAACCTTTCAACATTTCGCCACATTTCAGGCTTCAAACATAAAGATATACAAAATGTATTTTTTTGTCATGAATCAACAACAAGTGGGACACAATCGTGAAGTGGAATGAAATTTATTGGATAATTTAAACTTTTTTAACAAATAAAAAAACTGAAAATTGGGGGTGCAATATTATTCGGCCCCTTTACTTTCAGTGCAGCAAACTCACTCCAGAAGTTCAGTGAGGATCTTTGAATGATCCAATGTTGTCTTAAATGACTGATGATGATAAATAGAATGCACCTGTGTGTAATCAAGTCTCCGTATAAATGCACCTGCTCTTTGATAGTCTCAGGGTTCTGCTTAAAGCGCAGAGAGAACCATGAAGACAAAGGAACACACCAGGCAGGTCCGAGATACTGTTGTGGAGAAGTTTAAAGCCGGATTTGGATACAAAAAGATTTCCCAAGCTTTAAACATCTCAAGGAGCACTGTGCAAGCAATTATATTGAAATGGAAGGAGTATCAGACCACTGCAAATCTACCAAGACCCGGCCGTCCCTCCAAACTTTCATCTCAAACAAGGAGAAGACTGATCAGAGATGCACCCAAGAGGCCCATGATCCCTCTGGATGAACTACAGATAACTACAGCTGAGGTGGGAGAGTCTGTCCATAGGACAACAATCAGTCGTGCACTGCACAAATCTGGCCTTTATGGAAGAGTGGCAAGAAGAAATCCATTTCTCAAAGATATCCATAAAAAGTCTCATTTAAAGTTTGCCAAAAGCCACCTGGGAGACACACCAAACATGTGGAAGAAGGTGCTCTGGTCAGATGAAACCAAAATCGAACTTTTTGGCCACAATGCAAAACGATATGTTTGGCGTAAAAGCAACACAGCTCATCACCCTGAACACACCATCCCCACTGTCAAACATGGTGGTGGCAGCATCATGGTTTGGGCCTACTTTTCTTCAGCAGGGACAGGGAAGATGGCTAAAATTGATGGGAAGATGGATGGAGCCAAATACAGGACCATTCTGGAAGAAAACCTGTTGGAGTCTGCAAAAGACCTGAGACTGGGACGGAGATTTATCTTCCAACAGGACAATGATCCAAAACATAAAGCCAAATCTACAATGGAATGGTTCACAAATAGACGTATCCAGGTGTTAGAATGGCCAAGTCAAAGTCCAGACCTGAATCCAATCGAGAATCTGTGGAAAGAGCTGAAGACTGCTCTCCATCCAACCTCACTGAGCTCGAGCTGTTTTGCAAGGAAGAATGTGCAAGAATTCCAGTCTCTCGATGTGCAAAACTGATAGAGACATACCCTAAGCGACTTGCAGCTGTAATTGCAGCAAAAGGTGGCGCTACAAAGTTTTAGCGCAAGGGGGCCGAATAATATTGCACGCCCTACTTTTCAGTTTCTTATTTGTTAAAAAAGTTTAAAATAATCCAATAAATTTTGTTCCACTTCACGATTGTATCCCACTTGTTGTTGATTCTTGAATTTTTTTTTTTTTTTAATATCTTTATGTTTGAAGCCTGAAATGTGGCGAAATGTTGAAAGGTTCAAGGGGGCCGAATACTTTCGCAAGGCACTGTACATATAGCCATACACCCACTATATATATAGAATTATGATTCCCTTCCCCTTTCCATATATCCCACTGTGCCTGTATGTGTAGTGCATTAAAAACATTTGTGAAATGTGGTACATTAAAAACTCATACAAATCTGGCAAAAGATGAAGGGGGGATGTTTTTTTTCACTCCATATTTATTTTAAATACTGGAACTGGGCATGTCTGCTCTCAGGGTTTTTCTAGTCTGTTACTGTATACATGTTTGTTAGTACTAGACATGCACCACTAAATATGGTGTTTTCAGGGGTTTTCCTGCTGAAAGTGTATGATCAGACAGGCCTACACTGTTCATGCTTGATAAAAAAACACAAGTTATAGTAACATTTGTATATGTAGATACTGAGTTAATGGAAATAACTCAACAGGCTAACAAGCTTTGTGCTTGTCTGAGTAATGGGTCTGAAGTGATTTTATATATTTTTTTCATTAGTGTGTGGGTAACACTTTACATTACGGGCCGGTAAGTCCATGGTACTTACAGTGGTACTTCTAGGTACTTACAGTGGTACTTCTAGGTACTTACAGTGGTACTTACGGTGGTACTTACGGTGGTACTTACGGTGGTACTTACGGTGGTACTTACGGTGGTACTTACGGTGGTACTTACAGGGGTACTTACGGTGGTACTTACGGTGGTACTTACGGTGGTACTTACAGTGGTACTTACAGTGGTACTTACAGTGGTACTTCTAGGTACTTACAGTGGTACTTCTAGGTACTTACAGTGGTACTTACGGTGGTACTTACGGTGGTACTTACGGTGGTACTTACGGTGGTACTTACGGTGGTACTTACGGTGGTACTTACGGTGGTACTTACGGTGGTACTTACGGTGGTACTTACGGTGGTACTTACGGTGGTACTTACAGTGGTACTTACAGTGGTACTTACAGTGGTACTTCTAGGTACTTCTAGGTACTTACAGTGGTACTTCTAGTGGTACTTCTAGGTACTTATTGTGGTACTTACAGTGGTACTTCTAGGTACTTACAGTGGTACTTAGAGGTACTTATTGTGGTACTTACAGTGGTACTTCTAGGTACTTATTGTGATAATTCTAGATACAGCTGTAACTTAGTAATTCAAGGACACTACAGTATTATTCCTATGTAGTAAATGTGGTACTTCTACATACATACATACAGAGGTCATTTGTAGGATTGTTTGACTATAAAACATAAAACAACATTATGTAAAACAAACGTCTTTATTAATATGGAATAAGTAGCACAGAAAGGACAGTATAAATACATGTAATGCATATTTCAAAACAAGTTTCAAGGACAAGGGAAACACTGCAAGAACTAGGTACCCAACCCAAGTAACAAGAATTACACATTACCAGGTACTTACCAGCCAAGTACCAGGTACTTACCAGCAAGTACCAGGTACTTACCAGCAAGTACCAGGTACTTACCATAGGGACTGGCCCATAATAAGACAAAGGACTTTAACATAAGTACCAGTGATAACACCAGTAATTATACAGTAAGTACCAGGTACTTACCATAGGGACTGGCCCATAATAAGACAAAGGACTTTAACATAAGTACCAGTGATAACACCAGTAATTATATAGTAAGTACCAGGTACTTACCATAGGAACTGGCCCATAATAAGACAAAGGACTTACCCATAAGTACTAGTGATACCAGTAATTATATAGTATACCATGTACTTACCAGCAAGTACCAGGTACTTACCATAGGGACTGGCCCATAATAAGACAAAGGACTTTAACATAAGTACCAGTGATAACACCAGTAATTATACAGTAAGTACCAGGTACTTACCATAGGGACTGGCCCATAATAAGACAAAGGACTTTAACATAAGTACCAGTGATAACACCAGTAATTATATAGTAAGTACCAGGTACTTACCATAGGAACTGGCCCATAATAAGACAAAGGACTTACCCATAAGTACTAGTGATACCAGTAATTATATAGTATACCATGTACTTACCAGCAAGTACCAGGTACTTACCATAGGGACTGGCCCATAATAAGACAAAGGACTTTAACATAAGTACCAGTGATAACACCAGTAATTATACAGTAAGTACCAGGTACTTACCATAGGGACTGGCCCATAATAAGACAAAGGACTTTAACATAAGTACCAGTGATAACACCAGTAATTATATAGTAAGTACCAGGTACTTACCATAGGAACTGGCCCATAATAAGACAAAGGACTTACCCATAAGTACTAGTGATACCAGTAATTATATAGTATACCATGTACTTACCAGCAAGTACCTGGTACTTGCTGGTAAGTACCTGGTATTGCTGTTAAGTACCTGGTACTTGCTGGTAAGTACCTGGTACTTGCTGGTAAGTACCTGGTACTTGCTGGTAAGTACCTGGTACTTGCTGGTAAGTACCTGGTACTTGCTGGTAAGTACCTGGTACTTGCTGGTAAGTACCTGGTACTTGCTGGTAAGTACCTGGTACTTGCTGGTAAGTACCTGGTACTTGCTGGTAAGTACATGGTATACTATATAATTACTGGTATCACTAGTACTTATGGGTAAGTCCTTTGTCTTATTATGGGCCAGTTCCTATGGTAAGTACCTGGTACTTACTATATAATTACTGGTGTTATCACTGGTACTTATGTTAAAGTCCTTTGTCTTATTATGGGCCAGTCCCTATGGTAAGTACCTGGTACTTACTGTATAATTACTGGTGTTATCACTGGTACTTATGTTAAAGTCCTTTGTCTTATTATGGGCCAGTCCCTATGGTAAGTACCTGGTACTTGCTGGTAAGTACATGGTACTTGCTGGTAAGTACATGGTATACTATATAATTACTGGTATCACTAGTACTTATGGGTAAGTCCTTTGTCTTATTATGGGCCAGTTCCTATGGTAAGTACCTGGTACTTACTATATAATTACTGGTGTTATCACTGGTACTTATGTTAAAGTCCTTTGTCTTATTATGGGCCAGTCCCTATGGTAAGTACCTGGTACTTGCTGTTAAGTACCTGGTACTTGCTGGTAAGTACCTGGTACTTGCTGGTAAGTACCTGGTACTTGGCTGGTAAGTACCTGGTAATGTGTAATTCTTGTTACTTGGGTTGGGTACCTAGTTCTTGCAGTGTTTCCCTTGTCCTTGAAACTTGTTTTGAAATATGCATTACATGTATTTATACTGTCCTTTCTGTGCTACTTATTCCATATTAATAAAGACGTTTGTTTTACATAATGTTGTTTTATGTTTTATAGTCAAACAATCCTACAAATGACCTCTGTATGTATGTATGTAGAAGTACCACATTTACTACATAGGAATAATACTGTAGTGTCCTTGAATTACTAAGTTACAGCTGTATCTAGAATTATCACAATAAGTACCTAGAAGTACCACTGTAAGTACCACTGTAAGTACCTAGAAGTACCACTGTAAGTACCACAATAAGTACCTAGAAGTACCACTAGAAGTACCACTGTAAGTACCTAGAAGTACCTAGAAGTACCACTGTAAGTACCACTGTAAGTACCACTGTAAGTACCACCGTAAGTACCACCGTAAGTACCACCGTAAGTACCACCGTAAGTACCACCGTAAGTACCACCGTAAGTACCACTGTAAGTACCTAGAAGTACCACTGTAAGTACCTAGAAGTACCACTGTAAGTACCACTGTAAGTACCACTGTAAGTACCACTGTAAGTACCACCGTAAGTACCACCGTAAGTACCACCGTAAGTACCCCTGTAAGTACCACCGTAAGTACCACCGTAAGTACCACCGTAAGTACCACCGTAAGTACCACCGTAAGTACCACCGTAAGTACCACCGTAAGTACCTAGAAGTACCACTGTAAGTACCTAGAAGTACCACTGTAAGTACCATGGACTTACCGGCCCGTAATGTAAAGTGTTACCGTATATTTGTTCTTTATACTGTTTATGTATTTTGCTAATGTTGAGGACAATATTCGTTTAGCAGGGGAGGATTGTACACTTAGAATAAATTTGGTAAACGTTTCTTTAATATTGCAGAAATAATTGTTCTTGTTTAAATACATAGAAACAGTTAATGTAACGGTATTCTGTTTAAATACATCAATTTCAGTTTAAAAAAAAAAAGGGGTTGAACTGAAGGACTGCTGTCTGTTTGTGCTGTTTTTCCTGTTGTGTTCTCCGGAGACATTAAAGAGCTGTCAGAGTGGTGTAACATTTTGGAGGTCCCAGTTTTGATAACAAGTTATTCTTTATGGCAGTAAAGTAGCATGAAAGAACTACACTGTATATGCTTAGATATATTAAGATGTATGGATAAAGGTAAACAACAGCAGAAAGCAAACATGTTTATATCATTAAAAGTGCTTACTGGTTGGGCTCCGGACCAATGTAGGCGATGGTGTCGTCCACCCTGCGGTAGGTCACCATCCTCTTACCTGCTGCCGAGATGAAGTGGCTAATTGTCCCTTCAAACGTCTTCCTGTTGTGTGCAGAAAACACAAGTCATTCAAAATGTATCTTTATCATATGAACACAAAAGATGAACTTGGATGAGGCTGGACTTTTCTGTTCTGGATCCTGGGAGTATAACAAATATTTCAGTTCACAGGAACTGGTCTGGTCACTCTAGGTTTTTTGCCTAGTCATTCAACAGTAATGAAGGGAAAACCCGCTCATCTCGATAAAATCTGAAAGCATTTAATGAGCCAGCGCTGATCAAAGCCACAACCATTAATTCTGGTTGAATATACAGCATGTGGCTCAAAGTTTCACTGGAGTGAAATGTCTTCCACAGCAGACGTTTAAAGCTGTAGCTGTGTTTCTCTCCAGTTATACAGTGGCCCCCTTGAACCTTTCAACATTTTGCCATATTTCAGGCTTCAAACATAAAGATATAAAATTTAAATTTTTTGTCATGAATCAACAACAAGTGGGACACAATTGTGAAGTGGAATGAAATTTGTTAGATAATTTAAACTTTTTTAACAAATAGAAAACTGAAAAGTGGGGCGTGCAATATTATTCGGCCCCTTTACTTTCAGTGCAGCAAACTCACTCCAGAAGTTCAGTGAGGATCTTTGAATGATCCAATGTTGTCCTAAATGACTGATGATGATAAATAGAATGCACCTGTGTGTAATCAAGTCTTCGTATAAATGCACCTGCTCTTTGATAGTCTCAGGGTTCTGTTTAAAGCGCAGAGAGAACCATGAAGACAAAGGAACACACCAGGCAGGTCCGAGATACTGTTGTGGAGAAGTTTAAAGCCGGATTTGGATACAAAAAGATTTCCCAAGCTTTAAACATCTCAAGGAGCACTATGCAAGCAATTATATTGAAATGGAAGGAGTATCAGACCACTGCAAATCTACCAAGACCCGGCCGTCCCTCCAAACTTTCATCTCAAACAAGGAGAAGACTGATCAGAGATGCAGCCAAGAGGTCCATGATCACTCTGGATGAACTGCAGATACTTTCACTGTATCTGGTGACTGGTGGCTCTTACGGGTCAGGGGGCTTCTCACTGGGTGGGTTGTGCGAGCTGTAGTGGGCAACTTCTGGCACAGGTGGATTCTGGGAAGTGGAGTTTCTTCTGACAGCAGGAGCGTTCTGGTGCTGAGCATTGCGGGCCGCCCTGATAGGCTGGATGTCGCGAGTGGGTGGAGCGTCTGGCAGCACGGTGGCATCAGATTGGTGGCCCTCGTCCAGACTGCGTTCAATAGCGAGCTGCAGCAGTTCGCCATCTGAGAGGTTACTGTACAAAGAGTAGTCCTCAAATGCAAGCGTCGCCATGGTGACCAGCAGAGGCAGGAATCTGGAAAAGACCAAACCAATACTTTATGAGACATACAAACACCTGCCGCCACCTGTCGTTGAAAGCCAGGTCCTATCAGACCTCTGAAGCCAAGCAAAACAGGGCCTGGGATCAGAGCGAGTCCAGAGAGTGAGAGAGAGACCAGAGATAGACCAGAGAAATATTAAGAGATCCTTTATTCCTCCCACAGAGGAGAAATTTCAGTGTTGCATCACCAGTTACAGAACAGTAGGACTTAGGAGCACACAGCACAAGATATGACCAGACATACTAGAGAGATACTACAGAACGACCAGAGATACCAGAGAGAGAGACCATAGAGAGACCAGAGAGAAAGACCAGGGGGCCATGGCCAGTCACACGCACAAAAAATGTTCACAGAAGACACAAATTAGTTGACCTCTACTAGTAGTAAAATCCTTCTTGAACCAGCCACGTATTTCCTGAACTTTAAACATGCCAACTTTAAGTGTAGAAATGACATAAATCCACTCACAGTCAGATTCACAAGGTCTGGAACTGGTTCAGTCGGTTCAGGTTCAGATAACATAAAACAAAGAAGAAGGCTGAGTCTACAGCCTTCCAGAGGAAGCATTTGTGCTCATAGGGACGTGTTTTGAAAGAAACAAGGAGAGGGGGGAGATTATTAATAGCTGATCGTTGTGGCCCACATTTTGAAACCTGAAACTTTGTGGACACGCGACACACTGACCTCATAAGATTAACCTTAACTATTTTCAGTTGTCGTTTCGCTGTTGGTGCTGTTGCTTTAGTCAGTGTCAGCTCAGTTTTAAATCAACATTGATCAGATTTGCCTTGAATCATTTCCCCTGTTGCTCTTCACTGTTATATGCCTTGATGTTGATTTTCTTGGAGTGGCAGTAAACTATAAAATAAATATGATAAACTTCTGTCTCTTTCTATCTTGTATAAGAGTTTGATTACGCATGCTTAGATCTGTGCCAGTAATTCATCATGCGGTAATGACAATGTTTTGTAACTTTGCGTATAAAATATATATATACATACAGTATGCATGCATTAGTTTACAAATATAATCTATTTTATCTATCCATAAGCCGTTTTAAACTTTCAATTTGCTGAAATTGCCCAAATAGCCCCCATAAGTTAAGAACAAACCTACTAGTAATAAAAACCTTTCAAACTTTTTGGAGATGTGTTATTCTTGCAGTTTGTACACAGTATCTATGAATGTCTGTGACCTCTGATGACTTGTTATATTAAAAGTTGTGACTGCAGCCTCCACAGTTTGCCAACATTACTTGATATAGTTTTGATAATGATCCTCAGCAAACATTAAGAGGGTCTTTGCACCACTGAGTCTAGACTCAGATCTACTCACTTTCCCCTTCATTCTCTCACCTAGGGCCCTAATTACCTGCTGGAGGTGAGAGCCTTTTAATATTTATTGAGAAGAACATTTGCATATGAGAGTGTTTGGTTTGCCACATATATGTAGTTTATTTGAAATGCAAGAAGAAAGCCATCACACAGCCTAATATACTCACTCAGACATGTCATCAAAGCTGTAAGATGAAAAGGTGACACTGCTGTGTGGATGATTCGCTCATTACATGAAAGTAAACACTGTCAAGCCTAATGTGGATTAAGGGAAGGAATATCCTATCTCATTAGGCCTGAAGTGGAATGCAAAAAAATGACTACTTCATAGCAATAAGGAGGAGAAATTAGCAGTTAACAGCACACCATTGGACATGAAAGAGCAAAAAAAGCATTCATCTTAAATTAAAAGGAAAATGTATAGGTTTGAGTGCATTGCTATGTTATACTATTGCTTCTAAGCGAAAAGGTTGTGGGTCTTTGTAGGTTTCCTATACAATTTTTTTAAAGATGAAGATTTGAAGTGTCAGTGGGACTTTCCTGGTTAAATAAAGGTAAATTAAGTCAATGCTGCAGGCTCCTCAATCCATATAGGTTGCCAAATTTGTACATTGATGCCTCAGAAACATAGTTCATATCAAAAGCCACTAACTTGTTTGTCACTACATCCTCAGTGTGTCCATTTTTATTATCATAAATAACAATGTAATGGACTATAGAACTACACAAATACAAATATTATGAACAATAGCCTTCACCAAGTGGACCACATGCAGACATAACATGGAAGTGATTAGGTCATGCCAACTTCATCTGTTGTTTTGACTATAACAACATCTGTCAACATGACGCATTATGACATAAGATTGTCCTCTTTAATGCATGCCCTCTTTTTATCTGTCTGAAGAAAGCTATATGTACATATATATATGTATAATATATATCGGACAGGTCTGGTCGAGGGTTTTTACATTACATACAACATACAAACATACAAAAATTATTTCAAACGTCTTAAAGTCATGATTGTGTTTCTTGTTTAGTTCTCTTTTTTTTTTTATTCACTTGATAGAGCAGTATTGATTTGTGCTTGATGTTTATTAAAAAATACGTAATTATTTAAGTAGTGAAAAGTTGGAACTCATTGCCAATACAATTTTTTTTTTGAAATATGCTCTCACAAGCACTTAAATACAGTGTACATGCCTAACATTGTTCTCCGATTGCGTTCTTTAAATTCCAATTATTTGAGGAGAATGAATTTGGTTTGAATTTCAAATGTTGAAAATATGATAGTAACCTAAATGTTTTCTCTCTGTAAAACCAGAGCATGTTGTTGTTGTATAATGGATTCCGTGTGAGATGGTTGACACTTCCTGGTTAAGTTGTTCCAGTCCATGTTCCCAGGCCTGAGCTGCTGTCCAAACAGGACAAGGTGTGAGGTTGTGACACCACCCAGCTGCCTGGCACACTTCTGTGGCCTGACATCTGCAGGAACTGCACTAAAAACAGATTAGAGGATCACTTTAAAAATCCCCATTACATTGTTAATTGTTTTGCACATGGTCACAATTACCTTTTAATTTGGGCAACATTTGAATAACAGGCCATGCCTTTAAATCTCTGTAATCCCTTTCTATATTATGAATGTTGGCATGTATCTAAATTGACAGATAATTGCTAAAGTTTGCAAAAAATGTAATGTATTTTTTTATTTTTTTTAATAAAACTCATTATTATTCTTATTTATTCACGTGGAGGGGCACACACTACAGTAAACCATACACAGATTGGAAAAGTAACAAAAAAATTACAAAACACATATGATGAGTAAGTAGCAAGAAAGGTGTATGAAAACTACTCTGAAATGTACTTTACAGTGCTAAATGTAAGTTAGTATTCCCCAATCTGGACAGGGTCGTGTCTGATGTGGAGTGAAGCGCTCGCACCTTGTCCAGGGCCTGTTCCGTTTCCCATGGGAACCTCTATCCGAGGTGTCGTGTCGGCCCTGCTCCGAGAGCAGGGGAGGCTGCCTGGAGGTGACATTTCGCACCTCTCTCTTCATATAAGTCCCAGACAGAGAGATCCTCTTCATTCTCATCTACCTAACTTACAAGTATCTCTCTCTGAGGACAGACTGGGCATGTCTTTCTTCTCTACACCACGATTTCAGGAGGATTCCTGCTCCTTCCTCTTGGACTGCAATTCTCTGGTGGATAGATCTTGTGATCTGTTGGCCTTTCATGCTTCTTCAGATCAAGGCTATTTCAGTTCTTACGGCAGCCTGTCACCTACCTCTTCTATAGACTCCTTTAGCTTTTCTCCAAATTCACTCCGAGTCAAAACTGAGCAAGATCCACTGGACTGCTTCATCGTCAGTGGTGAACCCGTGCAGACCGCCACTACTACCAAGATCCTGACAGAGCCTGCCTCAGTGGACTCTATAAAGAAGAAGTCCAGGTACCAGGGTAAGAAGAGGCAGACTGCCAGCGAGAGAGAGAAGCTGAGGATGAGGGATCTGACCAAAGCCCTGCATCATCTCAGGTCTTACCTACCGACTTCTCTGGCTCCCATGGGACAGACTCTTACCAAGATCGAGACTCTGCGCCTCACCATACGCTACATTTCCCACCTGTCCACTCAGCTGGACATCACTCAGGACCTCCTTGAGCAGAGACCCTCTGGTTGTGTGGAGAGCCCCCTGTTTACCTCTTCCCCAGTGCAGGAGTCCACATTCAGCAGCAGCAGCAGCAGTCTGCTTGGATCCTGTGCTTACATGGTCTCCAGTGGACTCTGGGACTCAGCTCAGCTGGGCTGGGTTCCTCAGGGACAGCACCCCCACATGAGCTTAGACCAACAACACTAAGCTCTTGGGAATCAACCACTATTTTTCATTGTATCAGTGAGCCCAAAAAGTGTATCCTAAAATGTTGTTGTCATCATTTATTGTTATTTATTAAGCTTTTTACACAAATAAAAACACATTTAAACATAAAAAAATGTGTCTTTCTACATATCATTTTATTTTGTATGGTTTGACTGCCAAATAAAAGTAACCAGTAATAAATGTAAAATGGTAATTTACAAAGTTAAGGTGAATAATTACATTTCCCAAGACAAATAGAGTCGCTGATAGCAGCAGCAGCAGCAACAGTGAGGTGCAAAAAATGAAGCATATCCTCTAAATTGTTTAGGGAAAGAACCCCGTGGAGACATGTCAGTTATACTAGACTAGTTAAACAAAACTGGCACCTCTCATATCCTGATCTGTGAAAGGTGCTATATGAATAAAGACTACTTAAAATAAGTAATCAAAAACCTTTCTCACAGGTTTTAGAAATGGGCCAATTGTAAAAATATAGTAGCAATAACCACAGCCATTGTCCTTAGTTAGAATTCCAATACTGCTGTCAGAATGATAATTCTGTGATGTATTTGTCAAATAAACAACCTTTGATCCTTTTCGTTTAAATACTGTGTGACTTACATTTGTCAAAACATAAATGATTTTACAAAATATGTATCTTGATAATATATTTTACATAATACACATATGTTTGTTCATAGTTTTATAATTATTAATAATAATAACAATATTGGTATTATGTATTTATAATTTACATTTCTGAATTTTGGCCAGTGAACCAGGCATGCACTTGATTTTTGTTTAAAGCCACCCATTTCATGTTGGCTTTGGTTGTCTCCAAAGCCTGCTCCAGAGCTGCTGTGGCTGAACCCAGCTGCCCTGCATGATCCTCTTTGAACTGAAGCAGCTGCACATAAACACATAAACGTTATTGAAGAGAACTGCAGTGACATTTTAGGCCCTGTTTAGATGGAGACGCTGCAACAGTAAAACGGCAGAGTTGGGTGTCGGTTTGGCCTCCTGTTTACATGGAGACAGTGTTTCAGGGGGTGAAAACGCAAGGGTTGAGAAACAGCCTCCAGAGTGGAACAGAACAGATACACTGCTCAGCGGGAGGCTGTTTCTTCTGCCTGCTATGACCTGGCCACCTACCTGCACGTTCATTTGAACATGCGCAGTAGCCGAGTACAAATGGAATAAACAATGGTGGCGGGTCAACTAATGCTACGTGTGCTTCGAGCGCTACACAGAGGATAATTCTACTCCTTTGTCCGTCCAAACTATACCACGCAAAGCTTTCACATCTTTGCAGTGGCCCAAGAATGTTTTTGAGGAAGTGATTAGACTGCTGGGGGTCGCGTGTGTCGTGTTTTAAAGTTCCACTGCCCACTACTGGCCGGGCGCTAGAACTACATTGCCTGGTCATATTTTGCCAAATGCTTTGCAGCGTCTCTGTAAACGGGGCCTTTTATATGAGGAACATTTAAAGACTTTACCTGTTTGTACTCAAACTCAGAGGAAAAGCGTTTGGTTACTCCGCTGATTAATCTCCCAAATGACATAGCACCTCCATAGCTAAAAACATAATTTTAAGAAGTAGCTTTAAATGTGCTTTGCAGTCGACACAAACAGAAGAGGATTAAACTCACTTGGTATATATGAAATCCCATTTTGCTCTGATAAAGTCCCAAGCCAAGGGTTGACCGATGGGATTACTTGCAATATAAACTATAGTGTAGGTAGCATCCTGCTTCCGAATCATGTTTGAGTCCAAACTATAAGCTAGATATCTGTAAATGCACAAAATAAATATAATCCATCTAAAAGTGCAGGATTATTGACTTTCGAATAATCACACACATCAGTAAACAAAAAACTCAGATCAAACAATACAATATAGTTTAGACTCTAAACTTTAGAGTGTTTTCTCTTCAACTGTGAAATACACAAAACCCCTTGATCAGACAAAACAGTGCATACCTATTGAGCAGCCAGGGCTTTTCAGTGCAAGACAAACTATACATAAGTTTATTGGCTTCAGAAGCAACAGTGGAATTTTTATACATCTTCCAAGCAAAGTCCCATTCATCCACTCCTCCGGCTTTGATGGCACTGCAGTACACTGTGGATCGCAGGTTTGCATTGATTCTAAAAGATGAAAACAAGTGTTCAGCCAAGCCAATCATAAAAAAAAATCAGCAAAGCAGCCTTTGAGAACATACGGGTTGTGTGTTGAGTTTTGCATCCATTGTTTAAACCAGTTAGTAACCAGCTCCTGACAGCCCTCCACTCCTGTGTCACAGGCCATGGAGATTGCATTTACCTGGTTGTATCTGTAAAAAAATAGAAGAGAGAACGTTTATTGTTAAGAATTGGCATAAATATCCACAAAATATCCATTACAAAAGACTTACTGGTCAGTATGATTTTTAGGAATAGTTGTCCAGTTTGAAGTAATACCTTCAAAGTACTCAAACAAATTAGATGACTTATTTTTTAAATATGCCTGGGATTAAACATACACATATTATAATATAAATTCAAATTCACCAACTTTTATAATTTACTGTAGACTCTGTTCTAACCTGCATTGGCCCATAGACGTCACTGCGGTCAAACATAAGATAAAAATAGTTGAGATTGCGTCTCGCAGTCTCCCAGGGCATGTACTCCACCTCTTTATGCAGGAATAGGGTTGTTCTCAGAGCTAGTGTTGTGTTCACAATTTTTGCCCTATAATACATTGGTCAATTTACAGTAGTTAGTTCAGGAGTAAATTCTGTCAAAACAAATGTTTTTTTACCTTGCAAGGTTGAAGGCATCATCTATAATTTGGGCCCTGTTTATCACTGGAATGTCCTGAAATAGAACATCAACACTAATTTCCTGTAGTCATGACAGGTTTGGATGGGTCTATACCTCGGGTTTAATTGAAAGCTTAGTGAGAAGGCGCTCCCAGTTTTCTGTGTCGTAGTTGACTCTGTAGAACCCTCTCATGTCCACATTGGCCACAATCCACTCACCAGGAGCAGTTTTCATGTCAGGGTTTGTATCTGTACAGACAACAACCATTCTACAATCAATGTTATTTTATTTTGTTATAAAGTGTATGTTTAAATGTAATTATCAGACTTATTTTATCAAACGGCGTTCCTATAACAATCCGTTTATTTATTATTATTATTATTCCACATTGTCTTGCCTTGCTTTTGTCTTGTTATATGCCCTCTGTTTTTTTAAAATGTGCTGTACAAATAAAGATGTATAATTGTTATTAGTAGTATCATGATGTCAGCAATACTATAGTATAGTACACTATAGTAAGTACATAAACTGAAAAACTTTTCCCGCTATGTCTATTCATTATTTTTTTATTTTTTTATTACGTAAAGTGGTGACTAAAGATTCTGTAGCTAAATCTCACTTTCCTTCAAGATCAAGAATATATTTACAAACAAACAAAAACTCGCAAAAGATAACATGAAAAAAAAAAACCTTCTTTTTTTGTGAGCCAATACTGTTTCTCTGCGCCATTTTTAATCCAGGTAACAGGAACAATCCATTCATATCTGAAGTTTAAACGATAAAAGGTAGGAAACATATTAGATTGGTGTGGCAATGCAAAACAAATGTGTGTGTCATAAGAAGAACACATCCTACTTAAAGGGCGACTGCCTTTCCACTGGAGTGTCTGGGTCTAACAAGAAGTGCTTCTGCGTAATGTGTCCAGTTTGGGTGTTGATATTGACAACAGGGAAACCCATCTGGAGAATCCACCTGTTCATGATTTCTTCAATGGACACAGGCAATTCAATGCTTGATGAATCTACAGCCTGAAAGAACGAATTTTCAATGTTCTGATCATCTTCCCATCTTCCATCTTGATTTGACACTCACCATTTGGAGGTGTTTCCAGAGATCTTGGTAGACAGTGTTTCGGTATTGAAATGTGTCTAAGTAAGTCTGAAAATAATACATTTAACATATTTACTCATTATATCTATTAATAATGTATGATAAATCAAAACTTACATTAAGTCCTTTAACAAAAACGTCCTCTGAGATAAAGAAAGAAAGCATTCGGAGGACTGCAGCCCCCTAAAAATGAAAATATTTTTGACAGTTTCTTGCGTAAGTATGAATACAGCTTTAACTTCTGAATGTCGTTGTGTTACAAACGCCCAATATTTGATATTTTACCACAACAAAGTAACACACACAAAATGATACATGGTTTTGTTAATTAAAAAATTATACTGAAAAATTAAGTTTGCAAAAGTAACCATACAGTTAATACTATGTGGAATACCAGGCATTTCATCGAATAATGCATCATGCGCCCAAAGAATGATGCTACCACCCCCATATTTGACTTGAGGTTATGACTCATCTGACAACAGACCCTTATTCCACTTGCATGTGGTGCCCCTTGTGGCTTTATAAAGGCGTAGTGGACCAAATGTGTATACAAGTCACTGTATAGAGGCATTTTATACTTTACCTTGCTATAAGTGATTGCATCAAAAAGCTCACTGATCTGCTCTGGCCTCAGAACTTCATCTTCCCTGGACGAGAGGGGGTGAGAGGAGGCCAGAGCATCTACTCCCATCACACCTACAATCTCATTAAGAACTATCAAGTCTTTCTGCAAAACAATACATACATCAACAAACTGTGGGTTTTAGGAAAAAAGGTAATTCAGTAAATAGCAGAACTCACCATATTCCAATCTTGCTCTACTTCATGGGCCCCGAGGTAAGAGACATAGGTCGCAAAGCCTTCATTAAGCCATAGGTCATTCCACCATCTTGTAGTCACCAGGTTTCCAAACCACTATAGATACAGAACGTTGTTGTCATCACTTTTTATCAAACATAAAAGAAGTTTAATTATTTTTTTATATTTTAAGTTATGAAATACCATGTGAGCGAGTTCATGAGCTATGACTGTGGCCACCCACTCTTTGTCTCCGTTGGATGAGACGCCTTTGTTGTACAAAAGAGCCGTCTCTCTATATGTGATGAGGCCCCAGTTCTCCATTGCTCCTGCCCCAAAGTCTGGCAGAGCAATTTGATCTGCAATCAATAACATCTCTCGACCTTAGCTGAGCAACAAGTGACTATTTTAACAATACAATTATTATTGTAAAAATATATATTACCAGAATAATTATAAATATATGTTTGAGTGGGCCGATAAGCAGGGGTGCACATAACTGGTACACAGGTGCGCATGCACAACAACAAACAGAAACGCGTACTTGAGTGGTCTATAATAAAGGTAAAGGTAAAGGTGCACTTAATTGATCCCTGTAGGGCAATTCATCCTATGCATTTGACCCATCCTGGGGGAGCTAAGGCTTGCGTCAGGAGCAGTGGTTGCCGTAGTACAGCGCCCGGAAACCATCTCGAGATGTTGATGCTCGGCTTGGTCAGGACGACCGGAGCTGGAGGATTTAACCTAGTATTCATGCTTTTAGTGGTAGGGGAAACCGGAGTATCCGGAGGAAACCCTACGCAAGCACGGGGAGAACATGCAAAGTCCACTCAGAAAGACCCCGTTCCGACCAGGATTCGGACCTGAGGACCTTCTTGCTGAGAGGCCAGAGTGCAATCCACTCAGCCACCATGCCGCACAACGCAGACCATACACGCGCGCACAGAAAAAATCTCTGCTTGTTGCAAGAAACAGAGCTGGACTATAGAGCCTCAGCCTTCCAAAGCGCAACTAAAACTCGCTGAATTAAAGATCAGTCAGTGATTTTTTTTAAAATATTCTGGGAAAACATCCCTGAACCCAAAAAGTAGTCAAGTTATCATGTGTTTTCAAATAGTAAGGGAATTGACCAGATACCTATAGTCTCCTAGAATTAATAAAACATATTTTGGACCGATAAAAATAAACCTTTGGGATTCGTTCATCCCCAACGAACTAATGGAATGTGTTAACCCCCTTAACCTTCTTTCTGTTTCTCTCGAGTGTACCTAAAAGGGCTGAACAGAAAACGCCAATTTTACGTTTGCCACCCACTCTCCCTGTTGTGACAAAGAATAGAAAATTCTGGATGTTTGGTTTGGTGGAGAGGCGAGGGGAGGGAGAAGTGGTTTCGAGTTGGTGCAACGGCTAAGCTAACAAAATCGCTTACTGCAACTTTAAAGTTGGGAACCAAAATGTTTCCCTTGCCTCAAAGTAATAGTCTGGAACTCTAAATTAATTACACATTATAAGAATTGTATTAGATTGACCTCCTGGCCTAAAATGTTGACATAAAATAAGTCATTTTATGAATTATAATATTATACGGGTAAGTCCCGCCTTCCCTTATCTTAGCTATAGCTCAAAACCCACGATGCTGTCCATGTTAACCAATCAAGTGATGCCAAGGGCTGTCCTTTATCACGCTCGTGTTATATTAAATATATATATTTATTATATGACTTGGACCGTACGCGCGCTCTGATTGGTTGATTTGCGGTCTGATATTTTCCCATCTCGGACCGTCACCATGATAATTGGTCCGAACAGCGCGTATCACATTTGATATCTTTCCACGGACCGTTACCATGACAATCGGTCCACAGCCCGTATCACACAAAACCAAGTCGGACATGAACATACTTCACAAATATCTCAAAAGCATTGGTAAAGACACAGACGCGAGTCATATAATAAAACATTTATTAACCTTGCTTTCTCGGTCTGTACAGAGAAATATCAGACCTTGGCCTTTTTGCACAGGCCGCGGTCTGATATTTCTCTGTACAGACCTTGCGCTCGGTTAATAAGCCGTTAATATTACGCGGCTCCTCACGGCAGCAGTAGAACACTCCATTGATTTTAATGTAATTTCAAAAAGTTCTACCGGTCATTATTTCTTGATAACTGACCTCTCAAAACAATAATGGCCGCTGCCCATGGTCTCTGCTTGTAATTCAGGTGTAGATTAATCCGCAAGTAGTCCGGCCACTTCGTCGCAACTACTGTCCATAGACTGTAAATCAGAGCTAGTCACGCTCAATAAACGCAAATACCAATCAGTCAAGCCAATCAGTCGGAGAATACATTATACATATATATTATTAACACATAACAGGTTTTCAGGAGTATCTGTTACCGTTTTCATGACAAAAATACTGTTTTAATGCGAGAAAAAGCGATCGCGACAAACCCGGGAAAACATTCCGGGGACATTTTAGGACACATTTGCAGAGGATTGAATTATGGATATAGGTTGAGTTTTTGTTTGGGTCACTCACCGCTGATATTCAGAATTCTTTGTTCAGTTTTCATGCAGTTCAAAAGAGCTCTAGTTTGGAAGTTACTAGCCTAACTGTTACTCGCATAGCCACGGGAAAACTTTTGGGAACGACTTTATTCATTAAATAATCTTTTTGGCATTCATAAAAGTAGACTGAAGTTTATTTTGTGTGTTCTGTTGGTACAAAGCCATATAAGCGGAAAATAAGTACCTTCAGGGCGGAAGCAGACTGCTTCGCCCTGTCGGTACTTATTTTCTGATAATGACCTGCCTACTATACATTATCCCTTACACACACACACATATATATATATATATATATATTTATTTATATATATATATATGTAAGGTTTCGCCGTGACATGGCTAGACAGGTAACAGCTAGGCTAGCTAACTAACTAGAACTCTCTGGAATTAACGCTACAAGAAAAGCGAACAAAGAATTCTAAACATCAGCGGTGAGTGACCCAAATATAAACGTAACCTAAATCCATAATCAGATACTCTGCAAAAGTGTCCTAAAATGTTCTAATAATGTAAACCCGGAAGTTTAACACTTCCGGGTTTACCGCGATCGCTTTTTGGACAATTAAAACAGTATTTTTGTTATGAAAATGTTTACAGATAATTCTGAAAACCTCCATGCACGTGTGTTAAGAATGTATATGTATAATGTTTTTCTCCGATTAACATTTAAATGTGTTGATTGATTGTCATACGTGCCTATTGAGCGTGGCTAGCTCCGATAGCTTCTCTCGCAGAGACAGTAGTAGCGACGAAGTAGCCGGACTACTTGTGGAGTAATCTACACATCTCAATTACAAGCAGAGGGTGCGTTGCCATGAGCAGCGGTCATTATTGTTTTGAGAGGTCAGTTATCAAGAAATAATGACCAATAGAACGTTTTTAAATTACATTCAAATCAATGGAGTGTTCTACTGCTGCTGTGAGGAGCATTGACCTGGCGCGTGCACAGCGCGGCTTCAAGATCAAAGAATCATGTACCTCTCTCTCTTTTCTGACAAACTCCAGACTGTCACTTTAATAGTGGTTGTGACCAAAAGTTTTGAAAAAATCGAACAGAACAAACCACAGGGTTCTTCCTAAGAAAGAACCCTGTGAGTCATTATTTGACTATTTGGGCTGAGAGTGGATTATTTGAGCCAATTTAAACTTACTAAAAAAAGAAGCAAGTATAAAATCTCCATGAAGAACCATGCGAAAAATGGGGTGAGTACCAAACACCATTACATGGTACTCATCTGAGTACCTCTCTGAAAAAGTTAAGTGCACTCCTGCCTATAAGTCATCATCACTAAGCCATTTCCAATCAATGTGAGTTAGTCTACCTGATTTAGTCAAAGGATAGGAGATGTTGTAATATTTTTCAAAAAAGGACAGAATTGGTCCGGTTTTTGTAAGGGCATAGTGTCCTTGACCCTCATCGATGGCCTCCTTGCGAGCCCAAATCCTGATCTGCACAGAGCAATGAGAACAGAGAATTGTATTGCTCACTTTCTCCAGCAGAGGGCAGAGCTGCAAGAGTGTAGTTGTCGACATCATTGGAAGCATCAAAACCATAGACTATATGATCAAAACACAGAATGCCTTGTCGCCTAATGTGGCTTATTTATGTATTTAGAATGTATTGTGTTTTTTTCCATATTTATTTTACAAAGTACAATTTCAGAGTAGTACTGCGTTTGTATCAACGATTTGATTATTTTATCTTTATCATTTTGACTTGCGGTCCACGTTGAGAACTGATTGGTGTTTCCTAAGCCAAGTTGAAAGTTGTAGGCCTAATCACGCTAGCAAGTGCATTAAATTCCATCATGATTTTACTTTAGAGAAGAATATTGAGGTTAAAGTCATTGCTCTTTTGCTATTGGTGTCTTAAAACTAATATTGAAAAACAGCGTAAACAATATTTACCAAAACACTATTTTCCATTGTCTCAATGTGAGTGAATTCGCACACCACAAACGCCAGCAGATAAGATGACATAATCTCGGTGGCCATGAAGCTGGTTTTTATCAGATCATTTCCCTCCACTGTGACATTGACTGGATCTGTGTGACAAAACTGATTACCACACATTTTAGATGATAGTATTCTATAACAGTGATTTGCAGATAAACCATAAAATTAATGAGAACAGAATATCCTCTATACTATAAAATACTACAAACTATAAAATATTGTCATTAAATAGGACTTGCCATAGTTCATAGAGTTGGATAGAGCCACAGTGCCATGTGGATGCATAAGAGTCATGTAGAACACGGCCTTCATTGCCGGTTCATCAAAACAAGGAAAAGCTTTTCTAGCATCAGTTGGCTGCATTTGTGTTGTGGCCAAGACTCTGAAAACAGAAACACATTCTGGTAATGGTATGCCACATTATAGAGGCCTATCTCCTTGGAGAAAAAAAAAATGACAATCCACCTATTATAATCGATTAACCATTTGTGGAACTGTTTATTTAGTTTTATGTTATATTTTTTTATGACAAAAAAAATCATAAAACTAGATAGATAGATAGAAAGAAACAAAAGGATTAATGGTTGTCTGGTTTAGGTATTGAGGGTTCAACTAATTGGAATTCACAATTGAAACACCAAATGAGAGATTAATTTTTATTCCCAGTGACTTGGGAATAAAAATGTCCAATCTTGAAAATAGAAATTTACCTATGTTCCAGAAATGAAATGATTTTGTCAACTGCAAGTAAGAGCATGAACGGTTATGTTCCAGATAGGGCTGTCAAAATTATCGCGTTAACGCACGTTAATTTTTTTTTTCATTAATGGCGTTGAAAAAATTAACGCATGCCCATGCATCCCATAAGAACACCACGGAGACGTGCGTGTGAGATGGCAACAGAGCAGGTCTCTGGGAATTCAAGCTTTAAAAGAATACACACGTGACAGCGGGGCACTTGTTGTTTCCTGTATGAACTCTGCGAGCTGAGCTGCGGGCGCTCTGGACAGCGGTTCCCACCGCCAGCGGCTGTGATCACGGCGAATGGCGCCGCCGTAACGTGATCCTGTCCAAGACCACGCACAGAACTATTCTCTGCTTGTGATGTGCGCACGTGTCTTTGCGTAACCGGTACACACAACATATACAGCGCAGAAGCTGGACAACAGAGCCTCAGTCTCCTCCTAGTCTTCTCCCAAAGCGCTCTCGCTAAATTAAAGCTGGGCTACCTAATTTTCCCTTCCACTACCAGTTCATGACAGATTTAATGACATTCTGCATTTCAGACTGTTTTGAAATGTCCCTCATCTGTAACAAACAATAGTTTTGGTCTGAGTCTAAATAGAAAGACAGAATGTAATGTTAATGCCATTTTATATGGATTTATTGTTTTAATAAACAAATACAGTACATATGTACACTATGTTGACATTTATCTTTCCATTCAAACAACCATTTACAGAAAAAAATGGCATCATTTTGTCGATAGTTTGAAATGCGATTAATTACGATTAATTCATTTTTTTAAGCTGTAATTCATCCGATAAATGTTTTTAATCCTTTGCCACAGCCAGAAAAAATACTTACTTTTTGATGCCATTCTCAAAATATACACTTTTGTAGAATCCACCCAGGTCGTCCGCCAGCTCTCCCACAAACTCAGTTAAGAGCTCGTACATGTGGTCTGGCTTAAGGCTTCCCTCAAGTTGCACCACCAGATATTGAGTGGGCACCTCCAGCCATGTCTTCTTTATCTTGGGTGCCTCTGCTCCATTAAGGCCCATCAACTTGGCGTGGAAGTTGTCAAAAGTTGTGAGATTGAGCTTGTTGGAATGAATTAAAATCAGATCGGTAGCCTTCACGCATTGGAAAGTAACTATTGATTTCCCTGAAAATGTATAGAACTCATCCACTACTGGTTTCAGGGTGAGCATTAGAGTGACATTGTAGGTGAGGGGAACCAGCGAATCTGGAAGTCTGTAGTGCTGCCATGGCTCTTTTGGGCCAGGAGGAGTAGTGGGCTGTGTTGTCGGGGTGACGCTTGGATCCACGGTTGGAAGGACATCACTCTTTGACTTCTCCTGAGAGTAGACAACAGACAGAGCGATGATGGTGGCCGTTGCAGCAATAGCCACAAAGACACAACTCCCTGCCACCGCCTTGCTAATGAAGAACCCTTTCGCCATCTCCAAGTTCTCGAGGTTAAAAAAGGCACTAGAAACTTGCCATCTATTTAAGGAGATACATTTATTGTTTAGTTAATGGTTAATCTACAGGTGGAATGAAAGCGAAGAGAGAGGTTTGCTATGGCTGAAAGTCCAAGAGGAAAGACATTGTAAAAGATGGTGATAAGAGGGTTGCCTAACTTGTGGAGTTGAGTGAACAAACTATTAATGCCGCTGTATAAAAGAGAGAATCTAGAGAGTCATGTTACTCCAATGATCAGTTGAAATAAAAAAAGTAAAGTAAATAACTCTATGATTTATACCATTGAGATTGGTATTATGAAAGTGTTGGTTATATGTTCAACAGACTCCATCAAAACAAAAGACAGTTATAAATGCAAAGAATGAATGCTTGTGGCTCTTTCCATCTCTCTATCTGTTATCAAAGTATCAGAACATCAAAAAATATAAGGGAAAAGAAAATACTGCCATATGATAATAGACAAATAGTGTATACAGTATTTTATATTGCTTCTTTATAAAGTAGAGGACACAATAAATATAAAGATTTTGTTTGTTGTGCCATACATAATATTCACTCCCTAGTGAATCAGTGAGTAATATTCACTCTAGTGAATCTTCTTATTCCTAGTATTCTGTAACTTGTTATGCAACACTGAAATTTTCCCACTGTGGGATGAAAAAAGGATCTCTTTAACCCTTATCTAAATAATTGCTTTTTAATACTTTTTGATCATCTATAAAATCTTACCTCAGAATTTTGTTTTAGTTATTATTTTAATACATTCAAAATAATATTTTTGGCTGGCAATTAAATTATTTTAAATAAAGGCTACACAGAAATTAAATATAAAAAAGTATCACCATCATTACCTTTTTTTATTTATTATTGAAAGCAACAAGTGTGTAATAGCAAGAATGATACAGCAAATATGCACATAATAATAGTATGAGGAATATTATTAATTTGAACTGGCTCAAAAAACTTTAGGAGTAAACTATGGGATGATAGGAAACCATTTGTGGTGTACAAAGAGCAGAGGTTGTTCAGATACATGTTATATGTTACCTTGAACCGATGACGCCCTGAAGAGACGGAACTGAAGGTTACACTTTGTCCCATTGGTGATTATGGAAACTATTAGTTACGCATATTATGTATGGTCTAAATGGAAGCAATGAATAAATCCACATACAGATGTTACAGTGTATATTACTGTATATAATATTAGGTCCTTTGTAATTAATTGTCAATGTAACATTAATGCATTTGATTACAGCTAAATGAAGACACTTTGGTTTGTGGCTCTACAGTACAATGTAGTAAAACATTTCAGGATAATAAAAATTAATCAACTTTTATGTTCGACACGTGTAGGATTGTCTTGTCCTTTATCTCATAATAGTGTCCAAATGTCTTCATGCTGATTCATCAGTGAACCACTTGAGGACTTGGGCTTTGTTCTCTGTAATCCATTTTATATTTGCTGTGGTCTTTTCTATCACCTGCTCCATGGCCAGTGTGGCAGAACCAAATCCAATATCTTGATTATCCGCTTTGAATTTCTTAAGCTGGAAAAATACAATAATCATGATAATACAATATGTTGCTGTGTATTGACTATTCCTATGTGAGTTTTACCTCTTCCAACTCAAACTCTGTGGAGAATCTCCTTGTAATTCCATTGATGAGTCCAGCAAAGGAAAATGATCCTCTTCCATACCTAGTGCCAAGGAATAATCCGATTTAGTTTTATAGAATGCACTGTATTCAATCTTTCAGCGGAATACACAGATTTTGAAATCAAAATAGTCAATTAAAAATCTCACTGGTCAAAAATGTATCTCCATTTGGATCTGACAAAATCCCATGCCAAAGGCATTCCCACAATGTTTCTGGCAATGGACTGAATAGTCGCTGTAGCATCCTGCTTTCGTATTTTGGATGGGTCAAGAGTGTACTCCAGATATCTGTAATGAGTTCATATGGACACATAACATAAGTGTAATTATTGGGTTTTAGAACTGATTCCAGTACTATTCACCTGTTGAGAAGCCACGGTGCCGGGGTGCACGCCATGGCGTCCCGGAGTCTGGAGGCCTCTGATGCAACAGTTGCATTTTTAAACATTCTCCAGGCAAACTCCCACTCTTCGTGCCCCCCAAAGGCTAAAGCATAACAATAAACAGTGCTTTTCAGGTTGGGGTGAATGCTAAAAAAGATAACGTAACATAATCATCAAAGATCAAAGCAGTTAATTTTATCTTTATGTAAGTACTCACGGATTGTGTGCAGGATTTTCCATCCACTGTTTGAACCATTTTTTAGTGAGCTCTCTACAGCCTTCTATGCCCATTTTACATCCAATTCCTATAGCATTAATCTGATTGTATCTAAAAAGTAAAATGATGCAGAATTTATTGTTTACGGAAGGGTCATTTACTTGTATACATGTCGGCATATGACAAACAAATCCTTACTGGTCATCGTGTAGTGCTGGTTCTTTAGTCCAGTTTTCAGTCATGACTTGAAAGTGCTCATACAATGGCTGTATTTGTTTCTTCATGTAACTCTAGCATTAAAATGTAGCATTAGTTAAAAAAAACATTAATTGTTCATAGAATATATTAATTGCTTACCTTTAAGGCTCCGTATACCTCAGTGCGATCGAACATGAGGATGTAGTAATTTAAATTTCTCAATGCTGACTCCCAGGGAATGTAGCTAATCTCCTTGGACAAATATTTTGTCGTTTTCAAGGCTAGTGTGGTATTAATAATTTTAGCCCTGCGGAGAAGAAATACTTTTAACACTACAAAATCAAAATCTATTCACAACTATTATGTGTTAATATTTGTTTTCTGTTTACCTTGCAAGGTTGAAAGCATCATCAATTATTTGGGCTCTATTCATTACAGGCAACGCCTATATGTACGAGACAAGTTTATCTTTCAAGGCAACAACATTTATAAAGTAAATGAATAAATAATTTACTCATACATGATGATTGGAATTTAGCAAAGAGAGAAGAGAATCCCAGTTTTTTTGATCATAGTTAACTCTGAAGTAACCGGATACATTTGTATTTGCCAGCACCCAGTCATTTCCCAAAACCCTCATTTGCTTGTTTTCATCTGAAAGATGACATCATGTTGCCGAAAAAACAATTTACTGAATTCAATTTCAACCCCGACCAAATATATACTGAACCTGTCTTGTGAAGAAGCCAATACTGCCCTTGATCTATGCCCGTCTTCATCCATTTAATAGGGACAAACCACGTGTAGCTGAATAGAAAATGATTGGTTATCACTGATAATAAATCATAACAAAAAGTATCAACTAGGACGTTTGCATTTTTTGTCAACAACATGAAGAATTTATTTGCAATTTTTCCCACAAAAGACTACAACAAAGTAACTGGAAAGTGAAAGCTATTTAAACTGGATCAAGATCTCTTGATGGTAGGTAAACTTTCAGTCTAGGATTAAATCTGTTGCAGACTTCCACAGATTTTCTTCGAGGACTGTCCTGTACTTTTCTTCAACCCTTCCCATCAACTTTGACACTCAACCCTATCCCTGCTGAAGTAAAGCAGCTCCACAGCATGATGCTACCACCAACAAGTTTGACAATGGGGATGACCATTGTATCTTGCTTTTAGACCAAACCTTTCAAATGTGGTCTTATCTGACAGCACGTTCTTCCACATGTTGACTATGTCCCTCACTTGGCCTCTTCCGGCTTTATTTCAACACTGGCATTGTATTTACATTTTACTCTTTTCCATACTGGTCAGATATATGTTGTGTATGACTAATATTTGCCCCATGTGCGGAATCCCCTAAGTTTGCTGTAAATGACTGCTAAGGTATTGAGGTCTTCCATGAAGGTGCACTACTCAAATATTCATGTAATTGGATATTGTTTAGTGAGACATAATCATGCTCAATTTAGTATCCTATGTAATATAATTAAATGTTAAGGCCCTTATCACTTCAGTACACAGTACTGAGTAACAGATCAATCACAGACACCTTTTAAGGACTCGGTTCACTTCAGATGCAAATGCAAACCAGACTTGTTCCAGTTAAAGTGAACTCTGATTCTGGAACTCATTTTGGGAGGAAAAAATGCTTAATTTGAGGAATGTGAAACTGCCAAACAAGTTTACCCTGTCTGTTCACGTCTCTGGAAACAAATATATGTTTCAAATAGTTGTCTCATTAAGGATATCTTGTTATCTTGTTTCAATCCATGTTATTATAAATATAACCACGTGTATGTAGTGATTTTAAGTAAATAAATTATGAACTTGCTAAAATAACCCCTCAGTTATTTCAGGCTTCTTTAAAAAGAAAAGTATGTAGAATTTTAAAAATCCCATGGTATTCCCTATTGACAAAACTGTACCAACTGTTAGGCTAAAAGTGTTAAACTTATAATAAACTAAAACTAAACTAAAACTCAACGACTTTGTTTGCACTTTTTAAATGAGACTTTTGATAGGCAAGAAAACTTGGTTAAACACGAACACACCCTAATGGTGTTGGCCCAGTTACTGAACAATACATCTGAGTTAAATGTAAAGCTGTTGAGGCCATGTAAACACTAAACAGAGAGAAAACCTTGTTGGACCTTTTACACAACCTTGAGTTACTCTGAATTGCAGAACTTATATATGGATGGATGTGTACACAATTTAGTTCATCTTTAATTTACATGGGACTTACAAGAAAAGTTAAAAATGATTCCTACTTAAACTTAGATGGTCTGTCCACGACTGAGTCTGGGTCCAGGAGAAAATGTTTTTGGGTAATGCTTCCTGTCTGAGTGTCAATAGTGACTACCGGAAAACCCATTTGCAAAGTCCAGCGGTTCATGATCTCATGTACAGTGTGTGGAATGGTCAGGCCAGGAGTGCTTTCAACAGCCTGAAAGATAGCACACAAATGGGTCATGTATGAACTGTGTAAAAAAAAAATATATATATAAATATATACTGCATATTTGCATATATACTGGATTATGCTTACAGTATTTTTGTTAATAATATATATCATCCGGCAGACAATTTCACCATAGAAGCAAATTATATAATCATAAAACAATGCGTTTACATAGTGTTTTTGTGGGCACTCTACCCACAGCTGCCATGGGGCAGGCAGACGCAAGGCTACTAATCTGTGCCATGTGCTCCTCCAACCACTTTTCAATATTTAAGCACTAAGCAGACTCATACTAGGCAATGTAGGTGAAGTGCCTTGCCTAAGGACACAATGGTGGAAGCTTCCAGGTGGAAGTTTGGCACTTCCACCTGGTGTTCCCAAAGATCTCCCATCACAGTACTTACCAGGTCCTAGTTTGCTCAGCTTCCTAGATCTAACAGAAGAAGTCTTTCACATGCAGTAATGATTTATAGAATATAGTCATATTATACGTGTGGATGGGTGAATCTTTGTTGTGGGGGTTACTTGGATCATGCTTTTCTACTTTATCCATAATTAACCTTGAATACAAAACCGACCTGTTGGAGATGGTCCCAGAGATCTTTGTAGACTGTGTTTCCAAAAGCAAATGTGTTGAGGTAGGACTGTGAAGACACAAAACAAATATGTAAGTTGAGGTTTTAGTTCCTATGATTACTGCTGGTGGAAAAAGCATGATTCATTTTTCTCTTCTAAAGTAAGACCTTGAATCATTATTACCACAGTCTTTGTGAAGCTCTGTCTTAAACACACATAGCATACTCACACTTAGTCCTTTGGCAAAGACAGGCTCGGTGAGAAATTCAGATAGCATTCTGAGCACAACTGCACCCTGAAAACAAAACGCCATGAGAGGTTCAGTGGATCATCTGTGTATAAACCACAGTATTCAACTGTCGGAGAAAGTGAATATGAAGTAGACTATATAGATAGATATATAGATAGATAGACAAACTCAAATTATAAATGCAATTTGAATTAGTCTAATGATATTTTATAATAGGGGTTTTGTTTGAGGCAAAACCTGTTCTTGCTCAAGAATAAAGTGATGCAGAGTGCTGGTTATTTAGCCTGACCTGCCTGTCCCACCCAATGTATTATTTTCAATCAGAGTAAACCGGAATGGGCTGCAGAGAAGCAATACTTTTTCAAAAAATATTTGGAATATTATATGATGAATCAAGCTCCGCAAATCTCAGAATCTGTGGCGTACATACAATTTTTTTAAACTGTGGTACTGAAAACAGGGGTCCAGTCCCAGACCTGCATTAACGGCAGCAAAAAATGTGATCATGATCACATGCATTTATACCCAGCCCTAATAATTTTTTTTACATTTCCACCTTTTTGTCACCAAAACCTTTACTGATGAAAAAATCATCCTGTTACAACTCACAGAAACGGTTCAATTGCCATGACTTTTCAGAAACACTGTAAAAAAAATAAAGATAAAAAAAGGGTAAAACCTTGCTGTAGGAGATGGTGCTGAACATTTCACTAATTTGGGAGGGTGTCCGGACTTCATCTTCCGATCGGGACAGTGGGTAAGAAGAGGCCAGAGCATCTACTCCAAACACCCGTTGCATGTCATATAGGATCACATATTCTTTCTACAAAGAAAAACATCACATTTGACAAAAAAAAAAGACAAAGTCTTAAAAAGGAGTAGCTTTTCTGGTATCTTACAATATTCCAAGTGGGTTCAGCATAGTCAGCTCCCAAGTACTCCACATACGATGCAAATCCCTCATTCAGCCACAAGTCATTCCACCAGCGCACCGTCACAAGATTACCAAACCACTAAAACATTCAAATGACAAAGAGTTTTCTTTCCCCAAATCGCTTGTTATTAGTGAACAATCTTTAAGTATTGCTTGAGTGGGATCTCCATGGAGAATTAAACTTCTTCACAGAACTGGCATTTAAAGGCAAAGCTATAATGTAAAGTTCAATAAGTAAAATTGTCCCAAGTGACTATTTATGATCTCTTCTGAGAAAATGGGTGACAGATTTATATGATAAAAGATCTATTTCTCAAAACTCCAATGAAGTGTGACTCCCTCCTAGACTTCTCTTGCAATGTCACTTACCATATGTGCGAGTTCATGTGCAATGACAGATATAATTCTCTCCTTGTTTCCTGTTGAGGATATGATGGGATCATAGAGTAAGGCTGTTTCTCGGTATGTTACCAAACCCCAATTTTCCATCGCACCAGCGTTGAAGTCAGGCAAAGCTATTTGATCTGCAAAAAACAAGTAGTGTTTTTAACATAATTTATCGATTAAAACTGGGGTAACAACGTTCTTTCTCATTATTTGACACATTCAGTTCAGTTGATTGACCATTTACCGTTTAAAGAAGAAATATAATGCATTATTGTTTGCCATGAAAAAGGATAATGATTGCTGATGATTAATTTTACTTTGTCATTTTGTATGAAAGATAAATAAGGCTATTGGCCGGCCCCATTGCTATATACTAAACCAAGTCCCTAACCCTATATGCTACCACCAGAGGGAGAAGACGTTTTTCTTTCCCCTTTAACAACTGTGTTTCTAATTTTTGTGATTTTTTAAAAATAGTTAAAATGCACCTCTAAGTTTATTATAATGCGCACTATAAACAATCTAATATCAGTAGCCACTTATTATCTTCTGGTCACCCATATAATGAACTACTGCGAGAGATGTTGTGTCATACCTGATTTTGAAAGTGGATAAGCTGCATTGTAATAGCGTTCATAGAATTCAAGAATAGGGCCTGTAACGTTAAGTGCATAGTCTCCTTGCCTGTCATCTATGGCTTTTCTTCGGGCCCAGATACGGATCTAAAATGATATAATATTTCATCAGACAACTCCCATTCTTTAAAGAATGACTGAGAGAATGATGCCCACCAAAACATTCTTCTGTGTTGATTGAATATCAGCAAAGTCACAGACGATGAAAGCCAAAAGATAAGTGGACATTCTTGCTGTTGGCTCAAATGTAGTTATTTTACCAACATCAGTCTCCTCTGTAGCTGTAAAATATCACAAAACAATGTATCACCTTGTAAGTTATAACATGATTGTCATTGTCTAAAACTGACTTAGTTCTCTTCCATTGGACAGAGCAATGGTGCCATGGCTGTGAATGATGGTGACATTGAACACAGCTTTCATTGCTGGTTCATCAAAACATGGGAATGCTTTCCTGGCATAAGTAGCCTGCATTTGAGATGTGGCAACAATCCTGCAACATAAAATGACCCATTAAGGGCATGTTCACACTCACATGAGTGTCTGATTTGCTTTAACTTTTCCAATTCTGGTTCACTTTGGGCACTGAGTTCATTTGTCACTTCAGCTAGTTTACATAATTTGAAACAGATCTGTGAAGTTTTTTCCCATGTGACCCAGACTTGATCCAGTTAAAGTGAACCAGACCAACTAGTGTGAACACATTCTGAATCATGACAAATGATACTGTTTTAGCACATTATAAACGGTTGCTTCTTCATTTACATAACAGTTAAGTGAGAGAAATTTGAGCAACAACTATAAAAACTTACTTCTTTACACCATTCTCAGTGTATTCACTCCTGTAGAATCCTTCCAAGTCATCTGCCAGTTCACCCTTGAATTTAGTATGAAGAACATATGTCCTTCCGACTGTTAAATTGCTTCGAAGCTGCAAAACTAAATAATGTGTTTTTGGTACAAGCCAGGACTTCTCTATAGCTGGTGCAGAGGCGTACTCAGCAGTTAGAATGGCCAAATGTCCATTTCTACTTGTAAGATTAAGTTTGTTGGAGTGAATGATAACAAGACTTGTTGCCACCACACATTTGAAAACGACAAAAGAATGTCCAGTGAAAATATACAGTCCATCTGCATTGGGCTCCAGCCTCGGCCATAAAGTAAGATTGTAGGAGACAGGGAGCAGAGAGTCTGGAAGTCTGTAGCGATCCCACGGTTCCCTTGGGGTGGAGGGAGTTGTGAGTATTGTAGGGAAACTGCTGCCGCTCGCTTGTCCATCTCCAGAGTCATTCCGGTTCTTTGCTCTTTCTTTATCATAAGCAATGGACAAAGCAATGATTGTAAGGAGCGCACATGCGCCCAAAAGCAGCAGCCCAAATCCTACATTTTTACTGATGTAGAAAACTTTTCCCATGACTGGATCACTGACAAACAAAGGTTTTCTTAGATAGTTGTCTCTTTATGCAGCAGTTGTCCTCCCTCCTCAGTTAACATTTGAAAAATTAACATGGCAGAAAAACATCACCTGAGGACATATAAGCAGGATTATATTGATGAACATACATTTAAGGCAGTATTTGTTGTTAAAGGAAGTTAATTCATACAAATAAAATACAGAAGAACACTCAATTGATGCAACACTTGTGATTCATGTTACAAAAGATCAGACTATGACGGCTCAAACCCCCTTTACTCCTTGAGCTGAAGTCTTGGAGCAGGGTTGAATTAAGGCAGATTGCAAGGTCACTGTGAATACAAGTGGCTATAACAATGAATGCAGCCACCTCTGAAAATCTTGTCTCATCATTTTCTAAGTCTATATATACAAACTTTAGTCATATGTATTGATAATGCCATCCAACTTTAGCTGTGAAAACGCCGAAGCAAACAAATCAGCAGGTTGTATATGAGCTGGTTAAATGCTAATTCTTGTTCTTGTTGTGCAAATAATATATCATGAGCAAGAAGATAACAACAATCCTGAGGCCAAGATAAAAGTCCCAGTGGACCAGGGCATTTGCTGATGGTGCAGAAGCTACAAATGTTTTCGGACTACATGCCAATAGTCAGCAATAATCCTGTTATAAATTACCAGATGTTGCTCTGTTGTGGGGGGGGTTAATAATTCATTCAGGTTTGCAAGTTGAGCCAGACAAAATAACCAAATCTGGGATGTCCTTGCAAGTGTACAAGTTGAAAAAGTAATAAATAATAAATAGTACATATTTTTTCATGAATAGTTTATAGGACTCATAGCACGACCAAGCAACTACGCAGACATTCATACAGCAGTGTCTTGTTCAAGGACACGACAGCATGGAAACTGGTATTTCACCAGTGAGTTAGACTACGGGTTAGAGGACACAAATACCAACAAATCTTTTGCCGCCCCCATGTCTAGCTATCAAGTTACATTTAAACATGAAAAGAACACTTTTTAATGTTTTCCGACACTGTAACTTTGCTGTACTTCAGTGTATGACGACAAATAAAGAACTTTTTAGTGGGGTCAGTTTGAATGTCTAATGCATCATTACACAATGTCCATCTTATCACAATTCAAACCATTTTAATTTTGTTCTAAAGTTAACATTATCCTCATCCTATTTCTAAATTCTACCAAGAGATAAAGCAAACTCAGATCACTTCCCTCTATGCACAAAACATGCACATGTGGCTGTGCTTTTGTCGAAGTAAAGACCGGCGCAACAGGCAACATTTCCATTGTGCCAACAGAGGGAGAGATTATCTTGCGAGTGGGAATGTTTATCTTGGGGGCCCAAACTCACATATTTTCATGGTCTAAATAATGGCAACAATAGAGTCATGTGACGGTTGTTTGTACGTTTTTTAAAGAGCGCTCTTTTGACACATTCTATCCTAATCCAAACCTGTCAAATTGTACATGTCGAACTCTACATATGGACTTAAACAGATGGAGGTTTGCACATCTGGAAACGACTACAACTGGAAAAAGGCTTCTTTCTTCAAATAAGCAGTTTCAGCCAGTCAAATAAAAAAAGACTTTATGCTGCTGGTAATTGCACATGAAGTACTGATAATCATCATAACTGAAGAAAAATCTTGATTTTGTTCAACTTCTCAGCTTCTCATTAGTTTACAAAGAATTCACCAAGAATTAAAATTATGTTCTATATGTCTGAACAAACATAAATGATTTCCAACAACTCATTTTCCGACTATCACATTCAACCTCTTTTCCCTTTACAAGCACCTAATTATCCAAAATGTATGTGGGAGCGGTACATACCGAAGCTGGACAGCAACTGCAGGCTGTGGAGCATGTCTCCCTGGGAATGAAGTCAAGCAGATGGAAAAGCCAGTCTGCATCTGTGAGGAGGGCGGAGGGAACTCCCACAGGTTTGTCCGGGGGATCAAGGGCAGGAACCTATTTTCCAAAAATTCTTGTTCACTTTTGGGAAAAAGGGAAGCTAATAAATGTGGAACTATATAAATAAGTGAATAAATAATCTAGTCATTTATACATTTCATAAAAGATGATTTGCTGTGTTAGGTAACTCTAAAATTGTAATATGCATAACTAGTTACTGGAAAGTATATTTGTTACATCATTACAAATATGATTACATCATTATATTTGTTACATCATTACTATATTTAAAATGTAACAGTTTTAGTCTTGGGCACAAGGAATAATTGTTACACCAAGTATCTTTTAAAATACTTCAGTAGCAGCGTTTTTTGTCACTCACAAATTACATTGAATTATCTTTTTGTTTTGTTGTCAAAAGAACTCTTAACAGTGAGAAAACAAAGGCAACATAAAGTTTCAAGTAACTAGTAATGTACAGTGGGGTTTTCAAATGTCCACAATCACAAACATGAAGAATTTTTTTAGGCCCGAGCCCCAACTGGGGTAAGGGCCTATTACTCGTTGTAACCGTCATAAGTCACAATCTCCGGGCGCAGGTCACGGAGATTGTGACCTGCACGCGACGGCATGCGACGGCATGCGACGGCATGTGCCCAAGCACTGATAAAGCACGGAATGGCTTTGCTCCTGCTGTAGTACACAGTGAAATGATTGAGGTCCTATTAAAGGGGGGTTCTTTCAACTGTCTTCGCCCGGACATTCGTCCCCCAAGCCCGGCGGGCGTGCCCAGACACTGACAAAGCTTTGCTCCTGCTGTAGTACACTGTGTAATGAATGGGGTCCTATGGGGGGGGTGGGTGACCTCATGAAGTCGAGGTCACCCACCCAACCCTAACCCTAACCCAATCACCGAGAACCCAATAGTTGCGTTCGCCTTGTTGTTCGCTTTAAAACGACGTATCATTTGTATTATAGGTTACTATGGAAACCTATATTGTTTTTGCTTGAAGTTTCCAAAAAAAATTCTTTGGTTTGGTTTATTTATTTTTTCTTCTGCACTTTGAACCTTAATTTCACCCCCTGAACATTGATGAAAAGTTGTGAAATTTTGCCCAAAATTCAGAACTGGCGAAAAATTAATTTTTTGTGTGTTTATTTTTATGGGACAAAAAAAATGCCTGAACAGCGCCCCCTACAAAAGTCAGTTTACATTGCGCCTATGGGAAGGGGTCGGAGGTCAAGTTTGTCGTAGAGCCACGAAACTCAGTACACATGTTCCTCAAGTCAAGACATGAAAAAAAAGTTATTATGGCTCCGCCCCCTGACAAACAGGGAGCTCATTAATTTAAATGGGAAATGGAAAAATGAAAATTTATATTTTTCACACATGTCGGCTGGAAATTATCTCCTCCTCGGCCGTTTCACCGATTTGTCTCAAAATCGCTCCACATGGTCTTAACACATGTACCATCAATTATTGAATATGGAATTTGGATCAGTTAAACGTTGTCCGAGCAGCGGAGCGGCAAAATGTGAAATTTTTTGTCCAATTTTTGACAAAAGTAAATTTGCTCCCATTTGCACAAGAAAAGTCAGATTTGCACACAATTTTTATCCATTGTTCAGCTCCAGGGTCTAGGTCATTTGAAAGTTGAAATAAGGAAATTGGCTCATTAGCGCCCCCTACAGACTATATCAAAGTTTTACATGGGGCTAATAAAAAAAATGTTTGAAATTTTGCACATAATTCTGTTTTGTCATCTGGATTCAAAAAGTCAATGACAACATATGATTATTTTTTACCCTGTTGCCGTGACAACGACCAACACTCCCCTGTCTGTGTCTATGAGAAAATTGTTAAATCTCTGAAAAGTACACCTCGCTCAAACATCAAACCAGCTGCGGCCGTTTGACTAATTTGTCTGAAAATCGCACCACATGGTCTCAACACATGAACCATCAATAGTTGAATATAGAATTTGAATTAGTCAAACGGTCTGCGCATGACAGACTCCCAAAGTGTGGTTATTTTCATAGAGAGGTGTGAAGTTCCCATGTTATCCAATGGAGACTGTATGGACACACTCAGATTATATGTGCTCCTGTTCGCACATACACAAACTCTGATTTGCACTAAACTTGACTCGGTTGTTCAACTCCTGGGCCTAGGTCACATGACTGTGTGAACAATGACATTGGCCCAGTAGCGCCCCCTACAGGCTGAGTAAAGGTTTACATGGGGATATAGGTATTTAGGTTTTCAGTTGTTTGATCTCATATTTGACCCACTTAACAAACACAAAAACTCACCAAACTTTGCCACAAGTTTTTTTCAGGCATAAAGTGTATTATTTTGGTGTTCTTTGGTATAACACTAATAAATTGAAACTCTAGGGGGCGCTATTGTACAACATTAAATACCACCATTTGTCCCATTTGCACAAAATTTGATTTGATAGTCTAACTCTTGGGTTTGAGTAAACTGAACATGTAAATCATGGAAATGCAGCATCAGCGCCCCCTACAGAGTTATACAAGTCTTACATGGAGAGACTGGGGTTTACCTTTTCAATAGAGACACACAATCACTGATCATAGTAATTCAAAATGCACAGTGTCGCTCCCGTCAGGGCAGTGGGAAAGTGGCGCGTCAGCGCCGCCTTCTTTGCGCGGTGCGGCGAGGGCCGTTAGATGCCGCTTGCGGCTTCAATTTTAATTTGTTTTTGAAAGACCAGAGCGCAACACAACTGTGAAGTGAAGGTCAAATTATACATTTTTTTATATTTTCTCTGCGTCAACCAATTTTTCCTGATGATCGATGACTGCTTGAATGTCAACTTACTGTAACTATTAAGTTGAGTCTAAACTCACAACTCGAACAAGAACAGCACTGATCAGATGCAGACATGAGGCAAATGTTACTCTGGAGGGGATGCACAACTCAACAGTTCTCATGGGGGAACCTGTACCAGGAGCAAATAGTAGTCCACTACTCAAATCTGGCCTTCAAGTGGCAAACAGAAAGTGAGTGTTGAAATAGGGCCACAATCCAGACAAGGGACATATTCTCCATGTGGTCAAATGACACCAAAGGCTTTGGCCTTAAAGCAAATCACTATGTCACCCATCAACTCAATTCCATTCATTTTATTCTTATAGCCTTAAATCACAAACGTAGTTATCTTGAAGGACTTCACAAAATCTTTGAAATCAAACAAAGATCAGAGAATCAACAGTTCAACACAAGAAATGCAATGATGAAAACACATAGAGCCATTGGTCCATAAAGGGCAGATGACAGATGTTCATAAATGTTGATAAATGTCCATAAACTGTATGGACATCATTGTACTCACACTATCCCCACTGTCACACTATAGTAGCACCATGTGAAGGGGCTGCTTTCCTTCAGCAGGACAGTGATGGGAAGAGTCTGCAAATGACTTATGGCAGGGGTGGAAGTTTTATTCTAATTGCTACCATAATTTATTTAATCAATAAATAAATTTGATCAAATTATTCTATTCATTGAGTTTAGGAGGTTCTGTTTAAGTGTCCCCATTCATTATTTGAGCGGGGCATTTTCCAGTAACAGAGGCCTTTTGCGGTTTGAACTGGAAAAATTAAATGCTTCAGGGGTTGTCTAAAGCTAAACCCCTCTGATAAAAACAAAATTAGGGCTGCGGTCACAAAAACTAGCATTATGAAAGTCACGCCTGTAAATATTTAGAAACCGCTTGTTTAAAGACCCGTTTTTACGACAGGTCAGATGGAAATCAGCCACGAAGACTATTTGGAAGCCTCAAACGGCCTGTGGCACGCACTCCTGAGTTTTTTCATGCTTGTTTAAATAGAAATACACCCTATATTAAATATACACATGTTTTTACCTAGTGTTTAGACCCACTGCAGCACTCATCTCTCTTCAACTGTAGCGGATTGCAGGGCAGTGGCTGAGACAGTTTTGAGTGAGCGTTTTTGGGGCTTAATGCACAAAACTAATGAAAAAATACATTGCTTTGCCAGCGGTGAATGAGGCAAAACTGCAGCAGATTGACGGAGTCATACATCCCTGTAGCGAAAGTTAGTAAGTCAAGTGTATTTGTATAGTGCCTCTCACAGACCATGATCACAAAGCGCTTCACATTTAAAAAAACATACAGATGATAATAATACACATACAATTCAGATTTAAAAATGAAAAAAACAGAAGAGGGTTCTCATCATGAGTTGTGATGCTCAATGAAAACGCAGCTTATAATTTTTCCAGAGTGGGAATACTTTTAAAGTTGTCCAAATCTTGAATTTCATGGATGTTTTGGCATGTTGTGATGAAGGTTGAAATGGGTGTCAAATTTATGCCACCTCCAGACTTGGCTTATATTCTGTGCGTACCGTTCGCCCACGTCCAGATTGATAAATGCCAAAAAGTGTAATTTTTTGGCGTACGCCTCATTTACACCCTGATTTGGTTTAAAGAGCTGTCAAAGGACACCAAAAACAAAATTGTAGACCTGCACCAGGCTGGGAAGACTGAATCTGCAATAGGTTAGCAGATTAGTATGAAGAAATCAATTGTGGGAGCAGAAATGGAAGACATACAAGACCACTGATCAGGTCAAAATGATCACAGAACAGTGAGCCAAATTTCCGACTGATCCGTGTAAAGGAAAGAATGAATGGGGCCATGCATTGTGAGATTTTGAAGGAAAACTTCAAGGTCCTGGAGTGGCCTAGCCAGCCTGCGCACAGTTGTACAGCCCAGATGAGGGGGATTGATGTGGTGGGTAGTAGGGTGTGGTGGGGACGTGATATTGTGTGTCACAGTACGCCTTCCTGCTGTGCCCTCTGATGTGCATTTTCACTCACATCTCTACATAGCAGTTGCATTCTCCCTTGCTTGTGTTAAGCTGTGTTCGAACCACCAATGCATGGATGCGCGTTGATGGA